CACACGAAATTTTCAAGTACTGCGACAATTTCTTAACCAAAGCCCTACTTCATCCCCCCACTCGCTCTGCATCTCCCTTGCCCCAGCTGCCTTATCAGCATGCCGTGCTGCAGTGGCAACAACAACAACAATAACAACAGCTGCAGCAACAACAGCAACACATCTCAACAGTTGCATCAATTGCTCAACATTGAACTCTGTGCACAGCATCCCAGACAAACTGTTTCAGTCGCCCGCCCCGCAAACCCCCTTTACACCCTCCTTGGTCCGCATCATTTGCACGTTTTTTAATTAAGACATCAAAAAGAGTTTGAGACTTGCTTGATTTCGAGGAATTGGCCGCAGTCCTACCAGTCCCGTGTGTGTGTTTTTTTGTTGTTTTTTTTTTTTGTGTAGCTTCTACAGATGGCAGATAGAGTACACATGGCTACCCCCTTACGAGTAGTAGTAGTCGTAGTAGTATTCATCGATATTTCCTTCGTATATGCATGTACATATGCCCAGTCGCCTGTGACATCTACGAGTCGAGCTACGTGCACTAAATTAGTCGCAGACTCGGAACTCTTTAAAGACGACGTCGGAATCTGTATCGTAGTTGAAGTTCAACTCGGAGTCAGACGAGCTTTGTATGATTCTTGTATACAAGTTCAAGGCTAGAATAAGGAGCATATTTGTAAGACTGCTCGACTCTCAACTCGATCTTAGCTCGAGCTGGGAGATTCACTTTGTATCAATTTTAATTTGCACAAACTTTTCAATTCCCTCTCTAATCTATTTGTCAAAACTAAATATACAACAAATTTGTTAGCTTTGAGCTAGCTGAGATCATAAAGATAGTTTGAGTAATTTACCTTTATACATATTTACTTCAAGGATGGATGGATAGATCTTTTGATAGATGACAGGATACCAAAATACATCCACTTACAACATTTGGATACTCCTCTCATACATTCGCATATTGAATAATAATCAGAGTTATTTTAACAAATTGCGCAAGGGGTATAAAGCGTTGAGAAAAGCTGAGAAACTTTAAATTGCTTATCCTCAATGATCAAAGAATTTCGTTGGCACGCCGTTTCCCATAGTGTTAAGGAGGTGCTGAAAAAAAAAAAAAAAAAAAACAAAATAAGCGCAACGCAAGCTGCGAGTAAATCACGAATAGCTGCGAGAGCCCCCCAAGATATGAGAATGTTGATTATTTGCACGGGTTAACGCTCAAGATGCACATAAAGCTGCAGCCAAAAAATACAAGTAACAATGGGTTAACAATAGGATACCCTGTGCAGTAGTACAAACAAAAAAGATTCAATCTAAGGAAAATATTGAATATTTTCTAAAATAATTTCTGTACTTTGTTCACTTAATAACGAACTCCTCATATTATTAAAGCTATACACAGAAATGAATGTTAACTTTGGAATACCCTTTGCCATACATTTGCCAAGGCTACAGGGTATTCAACATTGAACTTGCAGTTAAAGTGTGAAATGAAATGTTGGTCCGCAACGTGATTTTATTTTCTTTTTACGCGATTTGGCGAATTGCTGAATTTAGCGCTCTCTGCATTTGTTTTGCTGCCTTTGTTGTTGATTAATAACAATTGATAAGTGAAGAGACGGAGTTGGAGTTGGAGTCGCAGTCGGAGTCGACTCGAGTACAAGTGGAGAGTGGTGGAGTCCCTACTGGCTGCTGATGGCGTTGATTGCCACAAGGTGGCAACATTTTCGGGCGAAAATGAAGATTTTCGTTATCAGCAGGCTGCTCAAACTGCTGCTTGCAGCGGACAATTCAACGCTCCGCTGTTGTTGGCCAACTCTTTTTAAGCCCGATTGTCCAGACTCACGTTTTTCAATTTGTTTGGCTGTGCAGCCAGCCGCTGGGAAATTTGTTTAATTATAAGTTACTTAAATTTGCTGCCACTTGCAACTTGAACCCCTGCAGCTGTGGATGCATGCAAAGCGAGCGCTTCTTATCACGGCCCTCCTCCCACTAAAATACGCATACGCCCCCCGCAACCGACTCCGGACTCGTTTTGTTTCGACCAGACCAGAACAGACCAGACCAGACCAGACCAACCGGCGTCGCCTGATCTGTCTAGGCACGCTGAATACCTGGCTCCGATCAAGATCCTGAATTCAGCCCAAAAAATGTGCTTCGATTCTACTTCTTCGGTTTTTTCTCATACTCTGTTTCCAAGTAGAAAATGTTGTGTACTTATTTTGTATAATCAAATCTATGTATGTCAATTAAATTACAATCAACAATAAATTTATCAATTAAATTACCGGCTGTAGCCTAAGTCAATCAACTCACTAAACTGCGCTGAGCTCGCTTCAAAATTTGATCAATTTCAAGTTAAAAAATGCCATTTCTACTATAAATTGTACACTTTGTGTGATGAGCTTAGACAGACCAATTGCATAGCTATCGATTCTCTGGCAGTGTATCGCGCAGTCGCTTATGCTCAACTGCTAGAGTATTGCTTGTCTTTTTTTTTTTTTTGGGTTAACTGACCTTCGCCTTTGCCAACGATTAGCCGCGTCGGCGGTCCAGCCTCAGTTGAGGGTCCAGCGACAAATGAACAAAGGGTCGCCCTGCCCTTGCCTCCGTTAACCGCCACCCCTTAATCTGCTCATTGTGGCCCTTGTTTGGGGCACCACCAAATTGCTCGATTGTTTATGGCTGCAAAAACGCCCACCAGCAGCAGCAACAGCAGCAGCGGCAACAGCAACAGCAACAGCAACAGCAATGTTGCCCAAGTGAGAAACCAGCCACAATAATCTGCCGGTTGATAAAGTGCAGCAAAAGCCCCCGCTAGTCCCCCTCACTCGGCCCCCTCGTGACCCTCAACTCCTCGCTAGCTGTGTGTGTGTGTGTCGCATTATCGGCGACGATCGATCGCAAAAGCTGCGACGGCGAACGGCAACAGCGGCTCAGCTGATTTAACAAATTGATAAACAATTGTTGGCGTTGTGTGTTGGTGTGTTGTGTGTGTGTAGTTGTTGTACGCGTGTGTGTGTGTGTGTGTGTGTAGCCAAGGTGTGTGCGGCGTTACGAAATGGCTAAACAAACGATGCGGCAAGCAGCAACAATAAAATGACGCAGAGCAGAGAGCTAATCCTCAGCGGCAGCAGCAGCAGCTGTCGCTGCCGGCAGCAACTGCAGCTTTACCATTGTTAGCCAAAACTTTAAACTACACTTAAAGAAAGACTCGGCCATAAAAAAAGTAAAAAAATACTTATTTTATTATAGTAAGTCCTAGAAATTCTAACTCTTAACTTACCTGGACAAAATATCGCAATTCAAGATAAATATTACAGTTGGAGAACGCAGCTATTTTGAAATAGGATTTATAATTGCTCAGAGCTTTTTAAGTTTGTACTTAATTTGAGTAAAATATGATGTATTGTTTTTCGTGAGTGTATCCGCTTTCTACCCCGTCGAATATCACCAAACTTGGAGAAGCTGAAGCTATAGTTGCTGCTGCTGCTGCTGCTGCTGCTGCTGCTGTTGTTGCTGATGCTGTTGCTGGCGTGTTTTGTCTGCGCCGGGGCAAACACTTTACGTGTGCTGCTTATCGCGCCGCCAATCGATGGCAATAAATATCTTACAAATAAGCAGAATGCGCTGGAATGCACCAAGCATCAGAAGCAGCATCAGCAGCAGCAGCAGCAGCGGCCCAAAAGAGCCTTGGAGGAGCATTACTCGCACAGAGATGTTGTCGATTGTTCACGTGCAGCAATGTTTTTTTTTTCTCTCTTTGTTTTTGGTTTCCCTTGTGGGATTCTGTGTGTGAATTCGTGAAAATCGACACTGCAATTAGAGCGACTGGCAATGGGGGAGAAGTGGGCGCGGTTAGCGCGTCAGTGCGACCCAAAGCAATCAAAAGACTCAGGCGACGAACTTGCAAACGCAGCAGCAACAACAAATTACAGTTGCAGGCGGGCTGCTACAACAACTTATGCTGACATTTCAATAGCCAACAATTGACAGGTCAACGCGCATTGGCGGCCCGCACGAGAAGCAGACGAAGCAGAAGAAGCAGAAACTCGTGGAGCTTATCGGCGCCTTCATATCTATCGCAGCCATGTTCTGTGTGTATGCCTCTCCACTGTGTAGCGTCTTATCCGCCGCATCGCTGGTCGTTATAATATTTTGTTGCCCAAAAACAAATCAGATGTCAGCATTCTGGCCCCGCTCTAATCATCAAGCCGAATGCAAAAAGCAATCCAATGCTCGAATGCTCGAATGCTCCAACTGCTAACTGCTCTTTCTGACCACCATGAGCTTTTCCAACTTCGCCGGCTTTTCCACGTATTCCATGCCAGCGTCGAGATGCGTTCGCGGGATAACCAAACGGCACAAACGGGCCAAACAGCCAAATGGTCTGTTGGACTGTTTGACTCTTCGACTGGCCGACAACCTCGATCTGGGAGCCTTTTGCTCGTTTTCAACTGTGGAGTCTAAGTTGGAGTTGGACTTGGACTTGGACTTGGACAACGTCGCATTGTTTTCACAGCTGCCTGTCGCTTGACTCGCACCGCTGACAATTTGTTCGATAATAATTGCTAACCTCTCTGACCACATTTGACACATACAACGGATTTGACTGTTAGCTAGTCGACCGACATATATAATTTTCTATAATTAATGTAATCTTGGCAAACACTTTGAAGCCATTGTTTCTTAATTATCATCAGATCTATTTGAAGAAATTATTTAATTCTGTAGTTGAGACTTGTTTTAAGCATTTTTTAATGTGTTCCACATTTATACATCTTCATTGGCACTTAAACATCTTAGGTAAGATCACAGAAAAGTTAAGCATATAAATCTGATTACAAAAATACATGAAACGACTCTTAATCAATGAACATTTTTGATATACTACGGATAATATTTTAAGTATTACTATTTAAGGGATTAATAGAAAATAATAAAGTTGTATATATTCTGATGTCTTTGCAATAAACAATATTTATGTATTAAATCTGCAGATTCCAAAGAATTGGCCGCACACGAGCTGAGCGAGGAGAAGCAACAGCAACACCAGCAGCACCAACAACAACAACAGCAACAGCTCGAGGATCAGGCCGAAGACGAGCAGTTAGAGCAACAGTCGAACAACTCCTCCTTGCAACCCGTCGAGACTGACATGGAACAGGAACTGGAGGAGGCGCAAGCGGCAGCCCAGGATTCCAGCGACCAGAAGTTGGCGGACAACCCGACCACGACAACGCCGCCGCGCAGCCCAACGCCTGGAGAACTGGTGCCAAAGCTGGAGAGAGCTGATACGCCTCCCTCAGTTCCAGTCACGCCCAGTCCACCACCGCGCACGCCCACACCACCGCCAATTGTACTGCCCAAGCTGCGACTCAATGCGTTGCTTGCCTCAGATCCGGCATTGAAGCCCGATGCCAAGGAGCTCAATTTGCACGAGTCACGACTGCTGGGTCCACCGCCCAAGCCAGAGCAGCAGCCGACTCTGCAGCCGGATGTGGAGCCGCTGTTGAAACCGGCGCGATTTATGTGCCTGCCGTGCAGCATTGCTTTCAGTTCACCATCAACGCTGGAGGCGCATCAGGCCTACTACTGCTCCCATCGCAACAAGGATGCTGAGGAGGAGACAAACGCTGCCGGTGATAAGGTCACATCCAACAGCGGTGGCACCTCCAATGCCAACAGCAGCTCCAGTGGCTCAACTGCCGCCGGCTCCGAGCCGCCCAACAAGATGTCCCGCATTGGCAAGCAATATGCGTGCACCCAGTGCTCCTACAGTGCCGACAAGAAGGTCTCCCTCAATCGACACATGCGCATGCATCAAACATCCCCAGCGGCACCCAGCCTAAACAGCCTCTCCAGCTTGACAGCAAATGGTGTTGTTGCCGCCGCTGCTGCCGCCGCCGCGGCGGCTGCTGCTGCTGCTGCTGGTGCGCAGCTCGAGGAGAGCTCTAGTCAAGTGAGTTGGTTGACGCAATACTGCGGCAAGCCTCTGCCCAACAAAGCAACCTGTGCCCCCCTCCCCCTCAAATCACAAACTAATTGCATTTTAATCTCACCCCGTAGCAAATCGATCGCTACTGCAGCGACTGTGATATCCGCTTCAACAACATCAAGACCTACCGCGCCCACAAGCAGCACTACTGCAGCTCCCGTCGCAGCGATGGACAACTGACGCCCAAGCCGGAGGCGGGTGGCATCACTGGTACTGTAGTTGGAGTTGGAGTTGGTGGAGCTGGTGCTGGTGGTGGTGGTGGTGGTGGGGGTGGAGCTGCATCAGTTGCTGCTGTTGCTGCCGGCAAGCATAGTCCACAGACGCGCAACAAGACGCCAACGCCAGCAATGGTTGCTGCTGCCGCCGCCGCAGCTGCGGCTGCTGCTGCCTCGCTGCAGGTGGCACCACCGCAACCCTTCCTAGCGCTGCCCACTAATCCGATTATCATAGTGCCCTGCTCGCTTATACGTGCTGCCAGCTTGATACCGGGACCACTGTGAGTATTGCTCAATCCGTGTATATTTATAAATCAAAATTAAATTAACTTTTTGTTAATTTTGTATTAATTTTCAATGCTTTCCGTCTTCTCTTTAGCACCACTTCTACGTCGGGCATTGTGAATCCGGAGTCCACATGCTTCACGCTCGACAATGGCGCTCTGAAGCCTCTAGCCACGGCTTTAAACATAAATACGCTAGGGGGCAGTGCCACGCCTACGCCTACGCCTATGCCCAGCAGCAATCAGATACCGATGCCCGCTTTAGAGCCAGATCGTCCAACTCCTGTGAGCATTTCGAGCAACCTGGAAACTGAACCCAAGAAAAGTCCAGCAGAACCCAAGCGCAAGGAAACAAGCGGCATACGGTAAGTCAAAGAAGATTCCAATCAAATTCAGGAATTAAAAAGTAATTAAAAATAAGCAAAAATTATAATTATTCAATTTTCCAACGTTCATCAGAAGATCATCAAAAAACTCTCGATTTATGATAAGTTTAAATATAGAAAGGAGAATAATCGTTCGTGTCCTTAAATTGAACATCCCCTTTTTTAACGTACTTGCAGTGAGACGACGCCACTGGATTTATCGCTAAGACGCTCGCCAATCGCAGCGCTGTTGCAGCGCCAGCGTCTGGCGCGCTCTGCCGCTGCATTGCTCGACGCCGAGGATGCTGCAGGTAAGGATGCTCACTTGGAGAGCATCAGTGGCGGCAGCGTTACACCCGAGCAAATTGTTTGCGCTCCCTCGCTGCCCAGCAGCCCCTCGATGAGTCCCTCACCCAAGCGACGTGCTTTAAGTCCACGCAGCTCTGGAGCTGGCAGCGCTTCGTCGATGTCACCGCCAGCCCATCATATGCTGGATAATTTGCCGCCGTTGCGCTCCATGCTGCCCTCCGATTTTAATCTCTCCGAATCGCTGCTGGCCAAAACGAATCCAGAGTTGGCCCTCAAACTGGCTGCGGCAGCAGCGGCTGCTGTGGCTGGCAGTGGCTCGGTGGAGCTGGCCAAACTAGGATTTCCAGGAGCTGGTGCAGCACCCAGCAGTAGTGCTGCTGCACCATCCTCTGCACAGAATGCACCGCAGATCTATGTGAAGCAGGGCGTCTCCAAGTGCAAGGACTGCAACATTGTCTTCTGCAAATATGAGAATTACTTGGCGCACAAGCAACATTATTGCTCGGCACGCAACCAGGAGACGGGTCTGGATGGAGATGCCTCCAAAAGCGCTGTAACGCCTCCCAGTGGACTATCATCAGTTGGCGGCAATGCTGGCGCCTCCTCTGCAGAAACCACTCCCGTTGCCTATCAGCAACTAATATGCGCCGCCTGCGGCATTAAATACACCTCGCTGGATAATTTGCGTGCGCATCAGAATTACTACTGTCTGAAAGGAGGCGTTGCGGCAGCTGCCACGCCAGCTGAGGCAGCACCAGCACCACAACTGCCACTCGCCCATCCCAAGGAGAAGTGCCCGAAATGCAAGACTCATCATGAGCACGGACAGAATTGTCCACCACCCCCACCACCAGCAACTCCACAACTGCCTGCTCCCTGCTCCACCTCTGCCACGTCGAATAGTGTCAATAAATGTCCCGTTTGTGGCGTAATTAGTCCCACTGCTGCTCTCGCCCGCAAGCACATGGAGATGCATGGAACGGTGAAGGCTTTTCGCTGCTCCATTTGCCAGTATAAAGGGAACACTCTCCGCGGGATGCGCACCCACATTCGCACCCATTTCGATAAGAAGACCAGCGATGTGAACGAGGAGCATTACATGACATGCATCTTTGAGGAGGATGCTGCGACGGTGGCAGCTGCAGTTGCTGCTCCAACTCAATCCTTGAATCTAGATCTGCCCGCTGTGGCAGCAGCGGCGGCGGCAGCAGCAGCAGCTCAAGAGCAACTGGATCAGCATCCGGCACAGCTCTTCAATTGCGATCATTGCAATTATGCCTCATCCTACAAGGGCAATGTGGTGAGTTTCACTTGATTACCTAAGACAAACCAATCCAGATCAATGTCTAACCAACCTCACTGCTCAGCTGCGTCACATGAAATTACTGCATCCACATGTGGCCATTAGTTCGCCCTCCATTTCACCTGAGTCGCGCGAACACGAAGCCAATTCACACGCCCTACCCGAAGTAGCGCTGGTTAATGGGGAACGGGAGGCAGCAGCTGTGCCCAGGTAAGAACCTACTAACAACTTACACTTGAATACAGATCCTAAATCTATTGTTTGTTTACCTGCCAGCTTTCACATTAAAACGGAGGCGTTGGAGGCACCGGTGGCCACATTGAGTCTGGTGCATGAGAACAATAATTCACCCATTGGCACGCCACTTACCCACATTAAAGCGGAGCCCATGGAACTTGGAGTAGATGTATCAGTACCATCGCTACCCCCGCCGATAGCCAATTCCCCGCTTGGGCCGAGCGCAGCGGAGGCATTGAAAAAATACTGCTCCACCTGCGACATATCCTTCAACTATGTGAAGACATTTCTGGCGCACAAGCAATTCTACTGCAAGAGCAAACCGCATCGACCCGAGGCAAATGATAGCCCCAGTCCCACGGTGGGTGGTGGCGTCTCAATGCCGCTGCAGTCGCCCAGCGAGCTGCTGTTGCTCCAGAAGAACAAGGAGAATCTGCAGGAGGCGGCCATTTGAGAGAGCCAGCTGATGTGGGAGGTGCAACGCAAGCAGCTGGAATGGTACTACAAGTGCTTCTAGAAACCCACCACAGCCACCGATACAGTATCGAAAGTATTCCCGGAGAATCTCCAACAATAACAACAACAACAACCACAATAACAGCCCCACTTCCAACAGCCACAACACGCCACGCGCCAGGACATTAATAGTTAGCTCCTGTTTTTGAGAGCAGCCAGGCAGTCTAGATATATAGATACATAATATACATAACATACCTAGATATATATATCTAAATACATATAGTATGTGAGTGTACTGTAGAAATCATGACATATAATGCATGCCAAAGCTTACCACTTAGAAGAGAAACTACAATTGAGTGCAAGAAACTACAAGTTTTCAATATCTAGATATAGTATCTCTACCAACTACCAACTACCAACTATGAAACTTACCGACGTTTTATGTAAACGGTAAATAATCCTAATAGATTCGATAACGCGACTAATAATAATTATTGCTGTAATTATTGCTTGTAACGCGTCTAAGCGTACAAAGATATAACAAATAAAACTGTGTAATTTAAATATATATATATATATATATATATATATATGTATATGCTATATACGAATACATATTTATGTATATGTATTTATTAAGAGTGTGCGACAATAAAACTAATTAATTTATTCAAAATAAATGGGGGCTGTCTTTTATTACCAGCCTAACTATATCATGGTTGTTGATCCTGAGATGACCCTCGAGTCCTTGAATACCAAACGATAGAAGTCCTTCTTGTGAACATAAAGCACCAAATCTGTCAAGGATTGTCTGAGTTAGAGCTTATTATATAAAAAATATCCTTTTTCTAACCATAACTCTGGCCTATCCTGACAACTTGGAAATGTTACATATTTTTGTGCTCATTGAGATTGTTGCTGTCGATTGGCATTCAAAGTTTTGCAGAATTTCTCCAACATTTTTGCAAACTCAAAGAATTTTCTTTATCTCGGCCACTTGAGGACTATTTTGATGTCCTATGGCCAGTAGATTGAGCTTATCCTGCCTCAGGCGAGTATAGGAAACAAAGGACAATAGTGTCTTACGGATTTTTTCTCTTATATAAAAAAATATCAGCAAACGAGTATTTGATTTCCATTAGTTTTGACCGAGGCAACATTATTACTGCATACTTTTAGGATTGTTATACTTTAGAATTAATCTTGTTCCTCCACGTAAGCAGGCCTATGACGTCAGCACAGCGATATTACTTTTGGAACCATACATTTACCACATTTATATATTTATTGATACACTTATAATTGGAAACTAACAGTGCTCTGAAAAAACAAGAGTAAGAAAATCTATATGATTTAATTGTAATTGTATCGTAATTTATATGTATGCATATGTGTATAATTTATAAATTGGTGCAAACCGAATTGTTAATATTTATCGTTTTACATTTGACATCAACTTATGAATTATTAATATATTCATAATTAAGACGAAGCATTCACGAAAACGCTTCTCGCTCCTAAAAGTTTGTTTTGTTTTGTTGTGTTTTGTGTGTGGATGATCACTTCTTCTCTGCCTGTCTGCCCTGCTGTATCGTTTATTATGTGGCTGCTTAATGTGCTTTCACGGAGAGTAAGGATATATTTGTTGCTTGCTAGTTTCTTAGTCCTCTTATTCGGTGGCTGCCATGGCGCGAGCCTGGGCTCGGACGCGCTTCTCGTACTCCAAGCGATTCTGACAGTAAATGGTGTAGGCCTCTGCTTGAGCGGGATCCTTGATATTGGGCTCATTGAGCAGATCCTGAATGCCAAGCAGAATCTGTTTGATTGTTATGGCCGGACGCCAGTCCTTCTCCTCGTCGAGCAGCGACAGGCAAACAGTGCCCGATGGATACACATTCGGATGGAATAGCGGCGGTTCAAATTTGCATTTGGGCGGCGACGTTGGATAATCATCCTTGAAGATCATACGCAGCTTGTAGAGGCCACCCTCCCAGGGTGTAGTCTTCTTGCCGGGAATCGCGCATTCCCAGATCATCAAATTCAATGTGCCGTCAGGATTTTTGGCCGGGCGTGCAACGAAGCCAAATGGATGATCCTTACGCCAGGCCTTGCGCTCCTCACCCAAACGTGTTATAGCAATGCCGGACATCTTGTGTTTTTCAACTGTTTTCTTCTTTTGCGCGCGACGTTCTTACCGATTCTCGCTGCTCGCTTCTCGCTTTTGTGAAATCGAAATCTATTGCGGTGTCTCCTTTCTGCCTCTGCTTCTACCTACGCTGTACACGCTGCTTCTGCTGATGCGTCTGCTGTGTGATTTAGAAAAATGTTGTCAGCCACTAACACTAAAGTACCGCAAGCCACTGCATCTCAATTGCGAATAAATACCTGTGTAGACTGCCTGCTACCTTAGACGGCTTAATTAATTCGCAATTTGATAGTTTTTCTTACTGAACTTGAAAATTTTATGCGCAAAATTAGCGCAATTTGACGGCTTCGGCTTGCATTAGCGATGACAGACGATATCGATATATCGATGCGATGTATTTTCAACAGCAATGTGACCAAACTTATAAAGTGCAAAATTGCCGTAAAATACCAAATTACAAATCAAATCTGTGCAAACTTTTGTTCCGTTTTCTTGCAAGTTTAATTTTTCAAATATTTTCAGGGATGTTGAGTAAAAAATCACGTAACTACTCAAATGACAACCAACCAAAGTGACATATTTTCCAAGTTAATCGCTTCTGCATTTGGTTTTTCTCACAAACACTTGGAATATTTCAATTTATTGTTTTTTTCTTAACTTGTAGATAAGTTTGTTAGTTAATTTGATATTAGGTAAAAAAGATTTTCATTTTCTGTTTTGTACAATTAAATAATTAACTTTCTATACGAAATCAGTAGTGGCTTAGATGTGCCCCGGTTAAGGAACTTATTCCTAACATATCATAATAGTCAAAATCGTCTTTTATAGATTTGTGTTGGAGGAAGCATAATGAAGCGAAAAATGCGAAATTAAATAAAAACAACTAAAAAATCTTAATAGCCAATAATAGAAGACATGCACGCGGGGGAGTTTGCTCGGGAAATTATGGCCTACATATGTAATCCATGCAATGAATTACTTGGCCTTTTTCGAATCTTTTTTCTTGCTGCTACTGCTGTTACTGCTCTCGTCCTTTTCCTTTTTCTCCTTCTTCTCAGGCTTATCCTCGGGATGATCTTCATAGCTGTAAAGGCATATTCAATTTAATGAAGGAAATAAGATTATTTGGAAAATTAGGACTCACGCAAAGAGCACCTTCAGCTCGCCACGGATTAGAGCTACCAGGAGTGGCGTAGCCATGCAGGCGGGCACAAGATAAAGCAGCGCCGGCTGCGCATGCTTGAACACATGCATCACAAAGATCGTCGCGAGCAGACCCAGGAAATAGGCAACCAGTGTGGAATAGAAATAGATGCGCGTCTTCCTCTTTTTGCTATCATCGAAGCGCAGCAGAAGGGCAATAAAGATGCCTGGAATAACGATATCGCCCAAGCCTAACATCGCAAAATTGGAAGCATTCAGGCCATTGTCGAGAATGTCCTGGGGAAAGACTAGTTTGATTGGCGCCTCAAAGCTCTTGGCCACAGTGACCATAACATTTGTGCCAAACACCCAGAAGATATCATAGAAGAAAAGGCCACTTAGCAAAATCACGCCCGTCACAAAGTTGTTCAAGTGCAGCATCTCCACACCATTGATGGCAAAGGCCAATCCAAACATATTGTTGGCAATCCAATGCTTCTTCAGCAGATACCACACTCCAATTGCCGATGAGATTATCAGACAGACAATGTCGTGCGTGGAGAACTTATAGTTGATGATGTCCTCCTTGTGTTTACCCTCACCCTTGGTGAAGTGTATATGGAATGGTACTTTGGGCACAGCTGCCGGCATCAACGAGTTAATTACGGGACTCAGTAGATGGGCGAGCGCAATAACGCCGAGCACAAAGAAATAGCCCGTGAGCAACAAGTTTATGTGCACCTTCTGGAAGATCTTGAAGAACATGTACAGGCCGAACAGCGCTGCGGACGCAATCAGCGGAAAATACATGGCATCCTTTTTGGTCATTGTGTCGGCCTTCTCGCCAGTCGACTGTGAAATATGAATTTATATATATATATATTTGTATGTGTTTGTGTATAAACATATGTTGTTTTAAGTGAAAGTGCAAGTGAAAGCAAATAGAGCGAAAAACAATGGGGTGATAGGGCGACCACCCACCTTTTTAATTTTGTGCAGCTTAACGGAACGTATGGAGCCGAATATAATGGGCAACATGGCCATGATGACGAGGCTGCCGTACGCCACCGCAATGCCTTCTGGCGTCGATGGCTTCTTTTCGCTGGTAATCGTCTCATTCTTCGGGCTCCCGGTTACGTTCTCGAATATGCCCTTAATCGCATCCTTTACACTGCCAATGACTTCCTCTGCCATTTCAATTGTTGATTATTACTTAACTCTTAGTTTACGTTTAAGCTTTAATATTTAGTTGCCGTTGACGATTTCTGTTGAAAATCGTTCGGCGAGGGTAACAATTTTTTTGACACGCAGCCACACAACAACAACATCAGCAAATCGACGCACACGTCAACGCTAGGGATGGTCGATAACATACTGATTCATCGATGTGCACTGTTATTGATAAGGTATTCCCATTTTCAGCTAAAATACTGTGTGTAACTTTCCAAAATTACATTATATTTAAGTGTAATTTTTGTCTGTTACTATTTTAATTCATTTAAGGTGAGCAAAATAGTTATTGCTAATTATTTTTTTGATTTGATTAACAGCACTGTTAAGCTCAAATTGGCACTGCTAGATACCTCCCTTCACTGTTAACACGAATGATAATTCGTTAGCTTTAAACATGTTCAACTGAATTTGAACTTCTTACAAATGAATTTAAATTTTTCGTTGCCATTGTTTGTGTGGGCGCTGCGTCATACACTGCACTTACTCTTCAAGCGTTATCTTTTATCCACTCGCTCGCCACACAACTGCCGTTTACATTATCACAGCCTGCAGCCATGTGCGAAACCCCTTTTCTGGCTCTCGAGCCGCAGTCGATGCTCACTCAACATTCAGATTTCGATGGGCGCACATTAAATTAGAATAAGTGTATTTTTATATGTTTTCGAAAAACTGACTAAATATATGCCACTGTGAACTTGAGAAACAACAATGTCGTACGCGATAAAAGCATTGATTTCCGGTCGTGGGCTGCCGTTCTTGCTGGTGGGCCTGCTACTCATTTCCGTGCCAAGCACCATTTGTAAGTGCTTTCATGTAAATATGAATGCATAGATAAACAAATATCTTATCAAAAACAATTCTTCTTTATTATAATTATTATTATTATTTATACATTTGATCAGCTAAACCTGACGAAGCAGATGGAAATGATCGGAAGGTGGCCAATGTCAGCACACTGGATCGGCTTCATTTGAATCTATTCATGAACTATGACACCAACGCCCAGCCCACTGTGCAGGGCAAGCCAACGAACATAAATCTGGGTCTCTCGGTGAACTATTTAGATATCGATGAGCTAAACAGCAAAATTACGCTGCATTGCTGGCTGAGCGCCGTAAGTAAAGATTATGTAGGGAAAACATTTAACTTCGGCTTGCCGAAGATTTTATACCCTTGCAGATATCATTGGCTTCCGTTATTCCATAATTAAAATATCCCTATGCAAGCGTGTATGTAACAGATAAAACTGAATATGTTTACTTGGTTGATGTAACAATGACTGTTCTTATGACAGAGCTGGATGGATGAGCTTCGATCGTGGAACCCACTCGACTACGACAACATTACCAAGGTGCATGTGCCTGCGTCCCAGCTATGGAAGCCAGAGATAACACTCTTCAATGCTGCCGCCGATGATAATAATTATCTGGCGGAAACTCAAGTGATAATCTCCCATGATGGCAAGCTCCTGTGGGTACCTACTGCTGTTTACACCGCCTACTGTAATCTCAACATGCTCAACTGGCCCTACGATGTACAGACGTGCAAGCTGAAAATTGGCACCTGGTCTCAGAGCCACATTGAGGCGGCTTACGATAAGCGCAGGCCGGCGCTCGACTATGATGAGATGGTCCAATCCACCGAGTGGGATATTGTCAGCGGAAAGACGAAGTTTGTACGTCAGGACCATTACAATTATGTGGAGTTTACGTTTAAGGCTGAGCGACGCTCCTCGATGTACACTGCGGTCATCTATACGCCCGCCTCTTGCATTGTGATCTTGGCACTGTCCACTTTTTGGTTGCCTCCGCAGATGGGCGAGAAGATACTACTCAATGGCATACTTATCGTATTGATTGCCGCCTTCCTTATGTACTTTGCCCAACTGCTGCCGGTGCTGGCAGGAAATACACCACTTGTGGGTAAGTTAGTATGCAACGTTTATCCTCTCTAGTCATTAATATTTGAGAGGAGTAGTAACACGTAGAAGAAGACATACATATCCATAAAATATCAGGTCAAAGATTGTTAAATGGTGAAGATCTGAAATGTGTTTATTAAACGCAGAAGCATTTGTGGCTTTTTCTTTTTGAGTAGATCTCGAAGATTTGATGAGCTAAAAAAACTAAATTTCGTATTAAGTTTGTCATACAGGACCAATTAAGTTTATTAAAAAATTTTAATAACTTCTCAAGCTCCCCTCTTAAATCGAAGACAAAAATCTAATTTTTGTTTTGAATTTTGGAATTGATATTTGGAATGTTTGATATTTCAAAGCTTACCCTACGTTCTGAGCCAAAAATATATTTGGTAAATGCTTATGTTTAAATAAAGATTCTAAAGCTAACGGAAAGTAATTATGAAAGGTTTTCAAAAAACAATATTTTAGAGTGTCAATTTTTGTTACAGAAATTTAGAACTAGGTACAAAGTATCTACTAGTCGGATACCAAGAGTTGCTTTAACCTATTCCACTATTTCTGCTTCACAGTGATATTCTATAGCTCCAGCCTCCTAATCCTGAGCATATCTACCATTATTGAAGTGGTGGTACTCTATCTGGCTACGGCTCAGCACAAGCGTCGTTTACCGGACTGTTTGAAGCGATTGTTGCACGGCAAGCTGGGCACCTGGCTGCTCCTCTCGCACTTCACCAGCGAGGCGGAGACGCAGTCGAGACAGGGCAATGGCATTGTCAAGGAGCTGGACGACCAACTGTACGATGGTCCAGATGATTTGACCAATCCGCTGGACATCAATCCCAGTGAAGAGCCCTCGGCACGTGCTCTGCAGTTCGATTGGATGCTGCTGGCCACCGCCGTCGATCGGATTTGTTTCATTACCTTCAGCGTGGTCTTCATAGTGCTGTCCATTGTCTATGCCATCTAGGATTACATATATATGTATATATCTCAACTGCTCATCCATTTGTTCGGGCTGTAATACTACTTGTGTGTACTTTATAGATAACTTGTATTTCTATTGCAATTTCTATATGTGTGTGTGCTTTTTTATATGACAATATTCAATGTGGACTTAGAATTATATAAATATTATTGAGTAGTTTCAGTAGTTTTAGCAGCTGTTTCGTGCAGTAGATTTGGCAAGCCGCTGGAAGATTGGAACCTGAATTGTACTTTTGGCATATAGCATTGTCAAAAACCGCATAAAATTAATTCGTAGCAATAAATAAATACTATTTATTTTAAGTTATGGATAGCGGATTTCAAGGAATTCGAATTATACAGGTGAAATCACATGTTTGATTTGAGAAAGGCTTCTGGTTTATTTTTCTCAAAGTAGCCAGATGTGATTAACCTTCTCACAAGACAATATAGCGTACCAACATAATCTCTGGTGTTAAAAATAACTTTCTTCCGGTAAATTAAGTTTGCCGCATAAAACTGCTGCGAAAACTACTGGAACTAAGCTCCTTATGTGGAGAGCTCTATTTGCATAGATACATGCATTTAAATTAAAAGGTAGGCTTAAAAGCGACAGATAACAGATGATGTAACAAATTAGCCCAGGGAAATTTAGTCCCTTCACTCGTATTGCTTCTTGGGATGCTCCTCGCTGCATTGCTCCATGTTTATCACATACGGAAAAATTACTCAATTAACCCAAATGTAGCTAGAATTAAGCGAAATGACCTTTTTACAGTTAAGTCCAGCGCACAGACCCGGATGCCTGCTAGTGCAGGATGGAGACAGTAACCGTTGTCTTGTGCGCAGCGGGCGGTCCTTGCGCAAGTCCTGTAACCCCCAACCCCCATTCCACCACACTGATGACCGCACTATAAAGCAACCCCAAACAAATTGGGGTTGTCATTTCAATTAAATGCATTGCTGGGCGGTGTGCGCTGCTCATAGGTCGAAGTTGAGGCTATGGATGTCCTGGGTGCTTGCTCGACCGACTGACTGGAGCCGGCGGATGTGGCGACTACTCCTGCATAAGGGCCTGGCCCCGTAAACACCGACGGCACCTGAGTACCAGGCGAGGGCAGCGAAGATGCCGTCGAGGGTGAGGGAAATCCCAGGCTGGAACAGGTCGAAGTCGGCGATGTTAACTCCACGGCGGCGTGTGGATGTAGCAGCTGGGCGTGCGTATGATGCGGATGGGGATGCACATGAGGATGTGAATGATGTCCCAAATGATGCTGCAGATGCTGCGGTGGCATCGCATGTGGACCGCCGCCAGCGGCGCCATGATGATGATGCTTGTAGGAACTAATCATGCTACTGGTTGGATCGCAGCCCTGCGCCTGTGCCTGGCAAGCGGCCATCAGACCGTGAAAGTCAAACTTGTAAGCATACCGCTTGCCATGCACCTTCGTCATGATATTCTTGTCATAATAGTAGCTGCAAGGATCAAACAAAAAGAATTTCGATTGTAATGAAGAAATAGTGAGAGGAGTCAACGATTAAAGCTCTTTCTTGATGAGTTTGATGGAGATAATTGGTTCTAAGAAAGCTTTATGGTGCATGTAGTTGTCCGATTTTGTTTAGATTATTAATTTTAGCTAAAAACATATTAAGCCTTGCAACTGGTGAGTTTGATTACAATATCAAGTTTTAAATGCTATAACTAAAGTAAACCAAAGTTTTTTATTTCAAGTTTGCTCTTCACACTTTAAGAAAATCTCATTATTCAGTATGAAGCAGTGAATGGACCAATAATAAGCTTATGTACCAACATTTATGAAGATAACATCACAAAGAGCTTAATTCAGTTATGCAGAGGCAGACAGAATAAGTTTATATGGAGCAGTGTCTTCTTGAATGACACACACATTTAAACACAAACTTCACAACACCTTCGGCAAATCTCTAACTAGTTTCGAATGAGTCACTGTGCAGGAATTGGCGTTAAGCGTTGTTAAGAGTGAATTGTGGTGGCTGTGTTGCGTTGGCAACCAGTTTGTGGGAATTGAAAGCGTGAAATGCTACTCACCGCAGAGCTCTGCTCAACTTGTCGTAGTTCATGTTTGGCTTCGCCTTCCGCTCGCCCCAACGCTTGGCCACCTCGTCCGGTTCGACGAGCCGGAACTCGCCCGATTGGCCCTCCCAGGTGATTGAGCTTGCGTTCGACGAATCAGCGAGCAGCTCCAACAGAAATTGCCACAACTGTATTTGGCCGCCCGAGCCCTGGGCGACCAATCGGTGCGAGGCAGCATTCAGCAGCTGATATGGATCTAAAAATAAGAGACAAAAACAGACAAATAAAGCAACAGACACACACGCTGACAGAGAGAGAGAGAGAGAGAGAGAGAAGAGATATAGAGAGAGCCGCGCACAGAAAGAGCTTATGCTTTAAATGAGATTTTCTGGTCAATGGCTGCGACGACGATTACAGCGGGAGAGAGAAGGATGTGGGATGGGGGAAGAGGACATCTCGCCGACGTGGCATGCAAGCGAAATGAAAACACATAAGCCGCCGCAATTCAACAGAAAATCAACCGCAAGCGTACATAAATCCTCCAGCTAGCAACGAAACGAGAAACCTACGGCAAAATTATCTCGGACCCGGTTTTGGGTTATTCCCGCCATAAGACATGTGCTGCCTAGATCGGGTCTGTCGCTGGCTTCAAGGCTGCACAAGGTCGGAAAAAATCCCCCCCGTTTTAAAATGTTGTCGGCTGCAGTCACGAAAACAGCCAAACCCAAGGTGACTCATGGTCAACCAGCGCCCCGTGATATGTGTATCTCTCACGTGAAGAGAGCGAGAAGATCGCTTGAATTAGGAATTTGCTTCGTCTACGTCCATTGAACTTATGTACAGTAGACGGTCGATAAATTATACGCTTCCGGATGTGACTCAAAATCGAGAAATATTTAAAATATTTGCAAGTCATATTTTGTTATACAAAAATAGATAATTAATTGTAAAATCAAATTAAATGAAAAAGTTAATCAATAGGTCAAGTTTAAGAAAGTGGGTTCAATCACAACACAAGTTGATTGATGAGAACTAAAAAATAAGTGAATTCTGCGCAATTCTGATTTGTAAAAGTTTCAACTGGCGAGAGATTATTTTATTTCTATTCTTATGCCATTTCGGTGTCTGCTTAGATTTCGTTCCGGAAATACCAAATGAAAGAGATGATTATCAAATCTTTTACATATATGTACCATTGAAGATCATGGAGCTGTGCGTGCCGGCAGCATGCCCATTGAGATGGGGGTGCTGATGATGATAATGATGTACGGCCGTATGATGATGCGGATGCGAATGCGGATGATGTGTTGCCGGCGGTGCTGGCTGCATGCGCAAACCGAAGCGCCGGTTAAAGTCTTCCGAGAGGCGCCACATGACGCCCACATCAACGCTGACGCTCATTTTGCAAGTTTGGATGCACTACAAGAACTTTACAAGCACATATTTTCCGAACAGGCGTCTGTTGGAATATCTATGTTTTTATGTATGCACGAAATTTCCTTTTTGATTGAATCTCAAATCACTTTATTGTGAGTTGTCCATATTATCAATAACTTAATTTATTTCCATATGTTTCTTTCTGCGGAATTGCCCTTGGCTGCATTTTATTGTTTTGTTGTTTCTGAGTAAGTTATTTATCTTTTTTTTAACACATTAAACGGATCACGATTTAATTTTTGCCATTATTTATTTATCTTTTAACTTTCCACGAAAGAGACCTTGTTTTTTGTTTTGTATATGATTAAAGTATATGCTCCATTTTTTTAAGTATTTCTTTCACTTATCTTAAAATATTTTTTATGTATGAATGTAACTTTTCATGGAACTGGCTTTGCCTTAAGTGGTTTTTATGATGAAAATTTTCGATTTTCCCATGGTTGAAACTAATTAAAGTTTTGTATTAGGTAAACATATTTATGTTTTTCACGTTGCATTGTTTTTAGTGATTTGCTTAACAACAATATCGAAACGGTGATAAAACAGTTTTATTTTTAACTCTACGCTGTTGGGGATATCAGCGTAAATGTGAACCGTTTCGAGCTAACTCCGTGTGACAACTAAAACCAAACACTGCAACGCATCATCAGCTATATATACAAACATATATACTATGTGTGTATTGCTATCATTACACGAGCGAATCCGAGGAGCAGCTCACCTGCGCAGCTGGTGGTAAATGCTGCCGTAGCTTCGGCTTCGGTCCGAAAAAGTCGCAAAGTAAGAGATTCACAAAAGGCCACGTGCAGACACTCAACCCACTGACAGGGGGGGCGAGCCGGCGGTTGGGTGCTTTGTGGGTTGTGCCACAGAAATTGCACGCTGTAAGCTGCGCCCGAACAACATGTAATCCTCTTTGGCATAAAAAACAAATCAATTAAATTGGCAGACACAGTTGCTCTTTAACATATGCCAGCCGAGAGCGCCAAATCGCAGGAAGGATGCGACGAATTGAATATTTTCCTGTGCCAGCCCCCAACTGCCACCCCAATTCCCCCTGCCAACCCGCACCCAACTACAAGCTGACCACCCGCAGCGCTGTTGTCACTGTGACTCCAGGACTCCCAGGCTGGCGACTTTTGCCTCTGGGCTCCGGCTTTGAGGCTGTGACTTTTCTGACTTGGGATTATTTTGATTTTATTATTAGATGCCACATCCTGTGAGAAATTATCATATTTACATCGTTTATTATTAAGTTCATCACTCGAAAAGTAAACACCACTCCCCCTCCCTTCGCGACAACATCCCTAACACACCCACCCTTACTTAATAACTGTCTTGGCAGCTAACAAAAAGTGTTGCATATTTTGCGGGGCGCTGCGCGAAGGCATTTTCCAAGCGATTTACGTTTATGAGTGGAAAGTTTGTAAGCCACTCGCTTAGTTAAGAATGCCCCGCGTTGACAGGTACAAGTATATATACACATATAGCCTATATTTATATAGCAGCAAGTATTTATCTATAATTAAAAGGCAGCTGATAAGTGGGAGAAGTAAGTAAGAGTAAGTAAGAGTAGTTAAAGTCTTGAGCACTTTGGAGATGGGCGCGTGTCGTGTTTGGTTTGAGACGTGACACGAATTTGCGCCACTCTTGGCAATTCACTAGGGTTAAAAATGTGTACTCTATGAATAGATAAAACAAAAAACTACAAAGCACTTAATTCTATTTTAAGAGCCCCATGCTAAAAATCCCCTTTTACTTCCGGTTTGATACTACGCGAACACCGCACAAGATTAGTAAGCACAAAAAAAAAATAGATAAGTTAGTTGTTATAAATATAAGGTATATAAAGCAATAGCATTATAGCTAAAAGGTGAGCAAGATAACAATTTATAGAACTCGGCAGACAATATTATTTCAAAATTAATAGCAGTTACAATGTGATCATGTAAATTGAACAACTATATATTATTATTATTATTTGTTGCTAAAGGTAGTGCATAACAACAACAAGTTGACAAGTATGTAAATAAAGAAAATGCACTAATCACTTATGTATTAATTATTTATTACAAAAAGGGTGAATTAACATTGAAGGAAGGAAAAAGTCATTTCGCGTCCACCTCTACACAGTAGCTACACACATGCTGATACCCCTTCCCCATTCCCATTAATTTCATGCCCTTATCAATGGCAGGGCATTTCTAAAAGAGAGCGTGTGTGTGGGTGTGTGTGTGTGTGTGTGTGTGTGTGTGTGTGTGTGTGTGTGTGTGTGTGTGTGTGTGGGTTGAGGGGTGTGAAAAACAATCAATGCAGGACATAACTAACGTTTCTATCAGCACCTTAACATCTTAATCAGTTGCCATTAAGTTGAATCGAATGCTGCTGCGAAAGGATTCAATTGATGCTTGACCACAAAGGAAGGACTCGCACCTCGACCTGTATCGTGACTCTAAACGTGCCGCTGGGAATACGACGTGCAGCCAATTTACAAGCAGCACCAATCTGGACACATCAGATTTATGTGGGCATAGATAAAAAGGAAACCTTTACTCACTTGGCTCGTTCTCATTGAGCATCGGACTCGTCTCGCGTCCTGTGGCACGGTATAGACTCAAGGCGAAATGCTTTGCTAGAAGAATTCCACCACGACGCGACCCAGCACAGACCCAGAAATCTGAGCGACTCAGTTCGCATAGCTCTTTGCCATCTTTGGGGAAGCGTGTGATATCCGGCTCTGGATCGATCTTCAGTTTGCGTGTCAGCCATTTCACCCAGCTGGCAATGTCATCTGCGCTCCATGCGTGCGGATCCACGGGCACCACAGGCGTCTCCGCACTGCTCTCCTCATCGGCGTCGTGTGCGGGTATCGGTAATGGCGGGGAGGTGGGGGTGGGTGCAACAAGCGGTACCGACACTGGCAACCATGAGCTCTTGCTTCTGCTTCCATTAGTGCGGCTGCTACTGCTGTCACTACTGCCGTTGCTGCTACTGCTGCTGTTGCTGCTTTGGGATGAGTCAGAGTCGGAGCTTGTGGAATCAGAGTCAGAGGATGTGCTGCTGCAGCGTCTCCGACGACGACGTCGTGGACGTGTCTCCTTTTTCTTCTCCGGTGCATCCAGCGTCGTTTCTGCTGCACTTGTTTCCGTTCTTGTTTTTTGATTGGTGGATTCTCCGAAACTATTTGATCGGTTTGCATCTTGGTGCATGGCATTAAAGCTCAGCACCTGGTTTGACCTTGCAACGCACAGGATTTGGTTTTGTATTTGACTTTGGTTGCGGTTGCACAGAATGGCCATGTGGAACTAACACTCGTGGCACACACATACACAGAACACAGACACTATCAGCTGCAGTTAACACTTTTCCGCGTCATTGTTATTGTTAATATTTGAATGCAGGGAAAACACTTTATTTACGGACTTAGGATTTATTTAAATCGTCAGGTGATTCACACCAGTTTTTTTTTAAATGCTCACTTTAAAGTCCGGTGTCTTGGAAATTTTATTGTGCATACTTAATGGTCGATTTCGAAAAGAATAATAACGATTCTAGACTTTTACGATTGTTCACAGTCAGGTCCGCTTAGGACTTAAAAAATCGTCGGGTGATTCACACAGTTTTGAAATGCACGCCCGCTTTAAAGACCGGTGTTTATAAAATTTTTGTAAATTGGTTGTATTTCAATATGTTGTTGTCACAGCGGAAAGCTCAGTGGAAAATTCTCAATATTCGATGGAAAAGTGCGAGAACTTAATAACGGTTATTGGCTGGCTAATACGATACGCGATCATTAATCGCTGCCCGAGCAAAGCCATCCGCACAGGTTCGCTTGTGACCAGTTAATGATCAGCAAATATGAACGACGATAAAACTCATGACGAAGTCAATGCGTCAAAGCTTTCGCTCACAACAACAGCAACGGCGTCGGCAATCTCATACGCGTGCGCTCGCTCTGTCTCTGTCTCTCTCTCGTCGATAATTGCCGGCTCCATCGGCAATCAGCGCAACCGGTTTTTACTTGCGAAATTTTATATGGGATCGCAGAAAGCTTGCCTCTATCCGACTTCGACTTCGACTGCGACTCTCTTACGTTCGTTAAGTCATTCGGTAAGTATGACGTAGGGAAGAAACGACTTTGACCGGCTCGGCTGGTGACTGGTGAGTCACCCACCAAACGGGCGAAGTGAACGCAAACAAAACATGGAAAACGTGTCATGGAGTTCCCCAGGCACACAGGTTTCTGAGCACAGCTCACAGTCAAGTAAATAAGAACATTGCACATTGCTCCAATCCATCGGGACAATTCTGGGTAAACAATGGTTTTTTTTTTTATAAGAAAAGATATATTTTATAATAACTATATATAATTATTTTATGGTTATATTTATTTATTAACAGATTGCGTTTTCTTGGAAAATGATTCAAAATGAATTTATTTTCGAAACTTTTCATACAAATTTTGCTAGATGGTTATTTTAAAAACATTACCCATACGAAAAAACAACGAACACATGCCGCGAAAAGGTTAAAGATTGCGAAGCAAAATTTAAATTGTCATTGATAGATAGATACGACTAAACTATTCCACTAGAATTGTTTGGAACAGCTCATAGTTTTTCAATTTCAAGGCATTCAATATAATATTATTTTTATGAACTTCTCATCTATTTATGTTAAAGAAAAGAAGGCTTGTACGAAAAAAAACTCATAATATATTCAGCTATTTTTGTTAAATTTTCAACACCCACATTAATTTGACCGCATCTGTGTTTATTTCAGTGGACGAAATGCAACGCAAACAACAACAGCACATGGCTGACGGGTAATGGGTGATGGGTGTGCGAGGAAAGGGGGCTAAGGTCGTTTGGCTGTCTGTTGAATAAGTTCATTCATTCATATATTTTCTGGCTCTCTCGCTCATTTGGCCCCGTCATCATTCCTAGAAATGCGGAATGAGTCTTCAACACGATCTCTGTTTCTCTTTCGCTCGCTCTCTCTCTCTCTGTCTCCCTCTCTCACTTTCGCTCTCTCAGGCGCCAAGTTTGCGGCTCATTTTTGGGCATTACTTTATTGGTCGGCTGCTCGAAGACAACAACTGATCATCGAGACGCGGCGCGTTGCTTGTTTGTTTTTTTTTGTTTTATGCTGCGGCTGCTGCTACTCGTCGCCCATTCATGGGAATCGCACATTACGCGGCCAAAATCCAAAACATTTGCACAGCTCTCTACACTCTGGAAAAATGTAGAGTTTTCCCGTGAAGTACACACTTTGTTATTAATGTGATTTAATAATGTAAAATTTTTCTAATTTCTCTGATATGCTTTTGGTTTTAATTATCTTCACATTAAACTATATTAGTTTAACTCAAGAGTTAAAGATCTTAAATTGCCAATAGATCAGAAATTATTTATTATTAACAATATTCAAGTATTCATTTTGAGTAGAGTAGCTTTTTCGCCGAGTGTACAATTACTACTTTGTATTGTTGTAGTATTTGAACGGGCGCAACAAATAGACGATTGCTCTATTGAAATTATTCGAATTCAGCCTGCGCTTCCGAGAAACAATTGTGATTTCATAGTTGAGGCCGCATTATATGCAAGTGATTCATACCGTTCGACTGCCCCGGTTGCCAGCCCTTCGCTTTTCTCTCTGCGTTGGCGCTGCAGATAAGTATTGTATTTATTTTGGTTTTCTGCGAGGGAGATAAGATTTGATATATCTGATGACCTGTTGTGCGGCGAGCTTTTACGAGCCATACGTAAAATTCATTCATACTCTCGTTGTTGTTTTGCATGTGTGTGTGTGTATTTGTGTGTGTGTTTGTTATGTTTGTGTTGGTAAAAGCTTTACGTGATCCGACGAAATTCCGGATTGCTCATTCATAACTTGACTGTTGATAATTGGCGTCATAATACTTGTACTTACTATTCTTTCTGTGGGTTTTGAGATTGAGACATTAAATGTGTGGAGTATTATTGAATGGAACGGCAAGTTGAGATAGGCGTGAATGTTTGTCTAAACTTAGTAATTAAGATAAATTAGTTTTTGTGTAAACATTTTTCGCTGCTTTAGCGTTGTTTATCTTTGTGAAAATTTAAAAACTAGATAGATTAGTTACCAGCAGGAATATAGAGAAAACTAATTGGCAATTGGGTTGAATTCATAAAGAAAAACATTTTATTTCTCATCACTTTCACTATTCTGATTTAAAGCAAGTCCAGATCGAAAGGGACCCAATGAGTAAATCATAATATAGGTTAACTAGGTCTACAGATTAAAATAGCTCTCGTTACTCATAGCAATTGCTGAGTGTTGGATCAATGATTAGCGTCAGTTCAGTGGAGTTCCTCTCTGATTTCCTCATCATCCGCTTCGTCATCGCTGGTCGCCGTTGGAGTTGTCGTCATCGTTATAGTTGTGGCTGCCGTTGCCGTTGTGGAGGCGGTCACTTGACGTCCCGAGTTCCAGATTAAATCAAAGTCCAAATCGCATTCCTTGGCAACGCGCTGAACCAGCGCTCTATCCACTAAGCCAGAGGCACTCCACGAATTGTCCTTTACGGCCAGTTCCTTGAGTGCACGTCCCGCCTCGGGAAACTGCTTGGCGTAGACCAGGGCACGCACCAGCATGGCCAGAATGTGGGAGTGGCGAATTGGCGGCTGCTCGGGTTTAACTGTAAAGATATTTAGAATACAAACAAGATTTAGTATAATTGGCAGGTGGACTCAATAAATGTTCATTAAATCTGGAATAGGCTAGCAAGTATAAAAATAGAATGCAGATTCCAACATATTAAAAATAAGAGCTAATGAAACCTGTAAGTATCAGATCAAAGACTACCATTGGTTTAACCTACTATTCTTTGATTTCTAGTAAGTTTTCACCTAAATTTGGAGCAACTTACTCAGCATACTGCGACAGGAGCCAATAACGGCCTGATTATCGCCGGCACGCAGAGCCTGCTGCATCTCCAGGATGCTCCTGACGTCTGCAACGGTACGCTGCAGATTGTTGTAGGCGTGCTGGGCGTGACTTAGCTTCTCCAGACACTTGGCTGCCTCCTGCATGGCCGTCAGAGCCTTCTCATAGTCCTGATACTCCTCAATCTCGATCTGAGCGCAAATGGCATAAAAATTGGCCAACGAATCATAAGCCTGTCCCTTGCTATAGAAGCTGACGATGTGCTTGAGAATGCCCGAATCACTCTGCCAGTCGAGAGCCTGCAGATAGTTGGCCGCCATTATGTAGATCTCACGCTGTCGCGACATCGAGGCGAAGAAGATGATCTTGTCAGTGTTGCCCGACTTCAGCAAAGATTTCATGGCTCTCACTTTATCACCCGCCTGGGTGAACTTTTTGGTGGCGCTGTGATAGTCGCCCTGCTGCTGAAGCAGCTCACCCAGCTGGATGAGAATACCAGTGCGTGTGAGCTCCTCAAAGTCCTCCTTGCTGGGCGTTAGCATATCAGCTAGTTCCTCGGTGACAGGTACACCCTTCTCCAGGCAAATGCCCAGTGCGCGCTCCAGATGCTTGGTCTTGGCCAGCAGCTGGACAGCCTTTTGATACTGCTCAATGCTGGCGAAGAAATCAGCACAGCGATTAATTAACTCCCCATCCGACTCTGCATTCAGTTCGCTGGCTATAATCTCGAGTATTTCCGGCTGCTGCGACTCAAATGCCATTTCCAACGCCTTGTGAAGCATGCCCGCCCGATGATATAGCTCCACGGCATACTTAAAGTTACCGCACTCCTCAAAGTAAGCAGCCGCAATGGCTTTGTCCCTGCTTCGAGAGGAACTGGCCACTGTCCAGAGCTCTTCCTGAAAGTCGTTCTCCTTGCAGATGCGTATCGCATTGCTGAACGTCTGTGCGCGCGTATAGAACATTATCGCCTCCTGGAACTTGCCCACATTCTCGTAGTGTCTGCCGAGATGATAGCAGGCTGCCCGATCTCCAGACTGCCGAGCTATTGCATCCGCTTTCGATATTTTGCCCAGATAGCAGAGTATCTTAACCTGTGAAAAGTTTATAAAAATAAAAGATAAATAGGACATCAGACAAAGGGAATTAATCTTAGCATCATCTTGATATTTACAAAGGAGGATTCTTGATCTCTATTTGCTGTGCAATTGAGAATATATTTGGAGGTGTCTCTACATTTTCACAACTTTATATTTACTTGCGAAAACCAATCCTCGGCTTTGTTGTAGACTGCCAGAGCCGCATCCATATCCCCAGAGCTCTCTACATACTGGCCCCACCACTTGAGCAGCTTCGGGTCGGTGGTCGTCTGTATATAGCGCTTCATGGCCATGGGGTTCTCCAGCAATAGTTGTGTGATATTCTGCACCGGATTCTGGGTCTTCTCGTAGAACTCCAGAGCACCCTGGATGTCACCACGATCACGCAGTGCCTGCGCCTTCTGATAATAAGTGTGCTTCAGATGTATTCGATCCTCGGATTCCGCTACCTGAAGCGCCTCATCCAGCTGCCCGGTGGCTTGGAGCAGCTTGTTGAGGAGATCGAAACGCTTGCAGCGTTTATATAGCTGTTTAGCCTCCTCGACCATGCCCAGCTCGATGGCGAGTACAGCAACCTTAGCCTCCGGTTCAAGATCATCATCTTCCATTGCCTGCCGCAGGGCACGCACCGATCGCGCCTGCTCCAAGTGACCCATGCACACCTTGGCCACATCCAGGCGACTCGTGTGCACGCACATCTTGGCCAGATTCGTCCAAATCACCTTCGATTGGATCGAGCGTACGCAACGAAAAGCCAAATCCATTTGACCCTCGGCCACATGCAAACTAAAATTGAGCACCTGTCTCCTCGTGTTGGCATCACATTGCTGCAGATCCGTGAAATCCTTCAGCGGCTGCTCCTTCACAGTGTTCACCTGCAGACAGACAACGCTAGGCACACAGAGATTCAAAAGTTGTGATCCGGTAGAGAGATCCTGAGTTTCCAGCACGTTCAGTTTGCCTTCGCTCTTCTCTGAATAGAACATGACGAGCACCTGGGACTCCACGTAGTGAGTAGGCTGCTGGCGACTCGGTTTTTGTGTCAACATAATCATCGATTTGATCTCGACGGCCAGCAGACGTGGCTCCTCCGTGTCCCAGACTATGCGTACAGGCAAACTTGACTTGGCGCCTGCATCTTTCTCCGTTTCCTGCTCGTCCTTACCCAGCTGATGATCGAAGAGATTGTTACGCTCAAAGTCCCAGCAGTAGACGGTAGCGGAGGGCGTAAAGCTGCTATTGGCAATGACCAATGCCAGGTGACTGCCCAGACTATTGCACTTGGCCAGAATAAATTCGCCAAAGTCATCGAATATCTCGTGACCCGATTTGCTGGGAAACAATAGCTTGGGATCATGTCGGGTCACATCATAGGCTTTCACATAACCATTCATGGTAAATACGGTCAAATAGCAGGCTGTCAAATCCATTCCAATGATCTTGCCCTCAATATCATTGCCGAGAATCCGGTGCAGAACGACGCCTCCAACGGAATAGATGACAATATCGCTGCTGGTCAAACAGAAGATGTTCTGATTGTGCAGACAGAGAGTCAAACACTCGGCTTGAAACGTTTGCATGAGCTTCACATTCAGCGCCGGGGAGCTCTTTACGGAGGCAGCGGAACCAGCGCCGGATGCCTCCAGTATTTCATCAAACTCATCCAAACTCTTTTCGATCTTCTGCAGGCTGTATGAGGAGATGGAGCGACCATTGCTCACAACCAAGCTGAGTTCGTTGAGAGCCAAGGCCGTCACTGCAAAATCCGCTTGAACCGTGCAATGTCGTCCGCTGCAGTGCGTCAACTGGACACTCTTGGCGGAGCACTGCAGTGCCCACAAGGTTCGCGTGTGACTCGCCAGAAGTGGCTGCTCCTTGAGCATAAAAACACTCGACAAACAATTGACGAGAATGCAGGGCTTCGTTAGCTCATTGTAGCCCCAAGTGCAGCTCTTGACTGCGCCCTGTCGCGACAGCGTTGATATGTTACCCAACTGCCAGGCATCCTCGGGAGCGCTGACAAAGCAGCTCACCGAACGCTTCCATGTATACAGATTTCCCAGATTCGTTGCAGCGCACAGCGTTTGATTGCTGGTGCTGTAAGCAAGGCAGGTGAACGATTCGCCGGTGGAGAGCTTCGAATATTTCGATATCTTCCTGGGCAAATTATTAACGTTGCTCTCGCCACTGCTATCCTGGCTAAAGAAGGCATTATTGTTGGATGAAGAGGTGGCTGTCATTACTAGATTGCTCTGACTAGACGACATAGATGAGCTCATGCGTGCAAGACTGTAGCTGGGTAAATTCATCTTGAGCAGATAATTATCACTGCGTTCGATGTCCCAAATGCGCACCGTCAGATCGCCGGTGATAATGGCCAAGCTGTTGCCTGCCCAGGCAATGGCACCGTTTTTGTTAGTGCCACGTCCACTCAACTTAACGCGATCCAGTTCTGTCAGAATGCCCGTGGATTCCACAAGGTACAGCGTAATGGTCAAGTCATCCATCAGACAGATAACTGCATCTCTAAAAAAAATATTGTAGAGTAAATAAAATTGTGGCCAAAAAGCAGATGTAAAATATATATAACTATTTTACCAATACTGCTTTGATCATGACTATATAATTTCCTAATCTACATGCTCGTAATGCTTACTTCCTAGTCTTAGACTCACTTTTTGGGATGCCACAGCATCTGCAGAATGGATGGCTGGTGAGGGCCGCTCTTCATCACCTCGGTGCAGGTGCCGCCCTGGTTTATGTAGTAGGCGACACCACCCTGCGTGCACGCATAGAAGCAGTGGTTGTCCTGCACACCTGCATGACCACGTGCGGCAGTGCGTGGCCGCCAGTTGGTGAGCGTGTCCAGGGCATTCTCGTCCCCAGCTACCGCTGCCTTGGCCAGACTGGCCATCTCCTCACGCACCTCGCTCTCGACAGTGCGGCGAAAGCAGATCAATAGCAGAGCCTCGCGTAGATCATGCGAGAACATGGTGAGAAACTGGTATTGGCCATCACAGCGCCAACCGGTTACCAATCCCATGGCATCCGCTGTAACCATGCGGCCGCCTTGTTCGCTGAACTCTAGCAGCACAATGGGCGCCTTGTGGGGACCACTAACGGTTGCGAACTCACGATGGCCGGCAAACCACACATGTATGTCGCCATGCTCCCACCCAGTGGCCAGGAGCGCCTTCTCCGGATGCCAACACAGAGCCGTTGCCTGTGAAGTGGCATGAACTGGATATGTGACATCCCGTTGCGGTTCACCCTGCCGACAAATATAGATAATAATCGCCTGTCTAATTTAATTTAATGCTTCGTAGCATACCGTATCCGCGAATATGGTGACACTTCCGCCGCGCTCGTGACTGTAGGAGGCAACGGCAAAGAGCGGTTCATTTGGATGCCAGCTGCTTATGGTGCTCACCGCATCCGAGTCGAGGAACTCGATTTTTGTATCAAAATAGAGAGTCATCTTTGCGATTCGTGCAATTCAATGTGCCTTCTATGCGGCGCAAAAGTTGTTCTCTTTTCTTTAGCCGCTGACCATAACAGGCAACGGTTGCCATAGCAATTCCTCTAGCTCCTTTATGCACCTTGCTCAGTTTGTCCAGCATTTTGTCAGCCCTGGACTGTATGTCAATTAGTTACAACATTCTAGAAATACTTCAACAGCGATTATTTCACAATTAGAAAACTAGTTTCGTACAGCTAATCAGATTTACGGTCGGTCGCCCCCTTTAAATTCTACGCACATGATCTAAAAAGATTACACTATGCAATAAAAACGTAGAATTCGAAATTTGCATATGCCTCAAAGCAACGAATATAGATTTTTATATAATAAATTATTAAGTTTAAGTGTTCTGTCAATTTTACTTTATTATGCAGCCTCAATAATAAAAATTTCCAAATGCTATATTGATAAATCCCGGAAATATATTTAAGTGTGCTTAAGCCACAAACCTGTTGGCAAGTGTTGCAGTACAAAAGTCACTATTTACACACAAAACACTCACACATTCCCATATACACACACGCGAAAGCAGAGAGCACAGAACGCACATATTGGATATACATTTGTATATGTATAGAAAATTACCGGCGAGCAGAACAAACAATTTTTCCCTATTGCGACGCAGCCGAGAAACAAACAGTTACTAATAGTGCAGCGCTTGGAGAGCAACACGCCACCCAAAAATGTCTGAAGAAAACGGAGCTGGAAATGCACTTAAAATTGCTGGTGCTGTCATCCTGCCGAATCTGGGCGGTCTGCTCGGCGGCTACGTGACACGAAAAAATCTCAAGAATTGGTATGCGAATCTAAACTTTCCCACGTTCAGGCCGCCCAACTGGGTGTTTGCACCGATGTGGACATCCCTGTATGCCGGCATGGGCTACGCATCTTACCTGGTGTGGCGCGATGGAGGCGGCTTCCATGGTGATGCCCAATTGCCGTTGGTTGCGTATGGCACACAGTTGGCTTTGAACTGGGCGTGGACACCGATATTCTTTGGCAATCATAACATCAAGGGCGTAAGTTGAGCTTGCCAGATTAGAGAGTGCTTATATTCCTTATCTCTATGTTAATATCACGCACAGGGGCTTATTGAAATTATTGCGCTGACAGCGGCGGCTGGTGCCTGTGGTGCGATGTTCTATCGGGTCAATAAGACGGCCGGTCTTATTTTTGTTCCCTACATGGCCTGGCTGGGATTTGCCACTGCCTTGAATTATGCCATGTGGAAACTTAACCCGAAGCCGGAGAAGGCTGAGCAAAAACCGGAACATTCTAGCTAAACCCAATGGGTTAATTAATTGCTTTTTTGCATTTTTTAATTTGTTTATTTTTCAATAAAAAAATGTCACAAAATAAAAACGTATCGGCGTTATCGATAAACTGTAAAGCTGCGTGCGCAGTTGAATGTCAATCGTTCTGCTTCTTCTTTCTATGCACCGATCGTTACTATTTGAAAATGCACTGAAACCATTTTTAATTGCCTTGGGGAGCAGCAGGCGGTGCAGCCGCAGCCCCAGCTGGGGGTGTCGTTGGCGTGCCCGCCTTCGGGGAGGCCGCCTTAGGTGAAGTGCCTGCTTTCGGTGACGGCGTCGACTTGGGCGATGTCTGCGAGACGGGTGTATTTGCCGGTGTCTTGGGTTTGCCATCATTCGCTTTTTGCTGTTGTTGTTGTTGTTGCTGTTGAGGGTTATTCTTGGGTGACTGCTGTTTGGGTGGCGATGCCTTTTGATTGCCCTTGCCCTGTTGCTGCTGCTGCTGTTGGGCAGGTTTTGGGCCTGGTGACTTGGGAGCCGTCTGCTTTTGCTGCTGCTGTTGTGGTTTGTTGCCGGCTTGTGGTTGCTTTGGAGCTTGTTGTTGTTGTTGTTGTTGTGTCTGGCCGGTCTTAGGCTGCTGCTGCTTGGACTTCTGGCCGTGATCTTGTTTCTTGCCATTTCCTGGCTTTTGAGTTGGAGCTGGTGCAGCAGGTGTGGGAGCAGCGGCCGAGTCTGAAGATGGTGTGGATGCAGCGGGAGCAGAAGCTGGAGCTGCTGCAGCGGGAGTAGGAGCAGGAGCTGCTGCAGCTAAAGTAGGAGCAGGAGATGGAGCTGCTGCAGCCGGTGCAGGAGCTGCCGCTGATGCTGCTACAGCTGTAGCAGGGGGAGAAGCAGGAGCATCTGCAGCAGGTGCAGGAGCTGCTGCAGCCGGAGCTGGAGCAGGAGCTATTGCAGCCGGAGCTGGAACAGGAGCTGCTGCAGCCGGAGCTGGAGCAGGAGCAGCAGCTGGTGCTGCTGCAGCAGGAGCAGCAGCTGGTGCTGCTGCAGCAGGAGCAGCAGCTGGTGCTACTGCAGCTGAAGCAAGAGCAGGAGCAACAGCATCTACAGCTGGAGCAGAAGCTGCTGAAGCTGGAGCAGGTGCTGGTGCTACTAAAGCCAGATCAGGAGCTAGTACTGCTGCAGCTGGAGCTGGAGTATCTGTTGCCGGTGCAGGAGCTGCTGCTGTCGGCGCAGAAGCTGCTGCTGCCGGTGCAGGAACTGCTGCAGTCGGAGCAGGTGCTGGTACTGCTACAGCCGGAGCAGAAGCTGGTGCTACTGCAGCTGGAACAGGAGCTGGTGCTGCTGCAGCCGGGGCAGGAGCTGGTGCTGCTGCAGCCGGAGCAGGAGCTGCTGCAGCTGCAGCCAGAGCAAGAGCTGGTGCTGCTGCAGCCGGTGCAGAGACAGGAGCTGCTGCAGCCGGTGTAGAAGCAGGAGCTGCTGCAGCCGGTGTAGAAGCAGGAGCTGCTGCAGCCGGTGCAGAAGCAAGAGCTGCTGCAGCTGGAACAAGAGCTGGAGTCGAAGCTAGTGCAGCGGGAGCAGAATCTGCTGCAGCGGGAGCAGAATCTGCTGCAGCGGGAGCAGAATCTGCTGCAGCGGGAGCAGAATCTGCTGCAGCGGGAGCAGCAACGGGAGCTGCTGCAGAAGGTGCCGCTGCTACTGGTTTCTGCAGTTGTTGTTCCATAATCTTAAGCTCCGCTGGCGGAGTTACTTGCTTGGCAGGTGGTGGAGTCACTTGCTTGGGAGATGCCTGTTTTGCCGGCTGTGGCGTGGGCGTTCCAGCTTTCTTTTGTCCTGATTTTTTCTCGGACTGCTGCTTTGATGCGTCTTTGATGACTTGAACTGCCGGAGTGGCAATTTCTGTTGGCTTTTGATGCTGTTGCTGCTGTTCTACCACCGGCTTAGCTTCAGCTGGTGGAGTCGCTGGCGGTGTCACTTGCTTTGCTGGTGGTGGAGTCACTTGCTTCGGTGTTGCCGGCTTGGCTTGCTGTGGAGTGCCCTTTTGTGGGCTAGCTTCCTTTTGCTTCGGCTCGGCTGGTTTCCGCTGAGGCTGATTTGCGGCGGTTTCAGCTTTTACCTCAACTTTCGCTGGAGCCGCAACTGCCGCTGGCTTCTGCTCGGCAGCTGAAGCAGCAGAAGTTGGGATCTCTTTCAATTCAGTAATATTCTCCACTTTTTGTTCGGGTTTCTCTGCAACTGGAGCTTGAACTGCTGGCTTTGGTGGCTCAGCGGCGACAATTTGAGCTAATGTTTGAACAGCGGGCGGCGTCTTCACCTGAACAGGAGCAGCAACAGGTGTCGGAGTGGGTGGACTAGGCTTTGCTGCTGGCAAGGGTTGATCCTTGGTCTCCATTGGCTTCGACTGTTCTGCTTTGGGTGCCTCTGACGGTTTTTCAGGTTGTGGCTTTTGAGGTTCCTCTGTCTTTTGAATATCCACAGTAATTGCTGCTGGTTTTTGCTCCTCCTTAGCTACTGGCTTGGGCTGGTCTTGGGGAGCAACTGCATCGGGTTTGTTTTTATTCGGTTGCTCCTTAGTGGGCTGCGCTTCCTGTTGATTCTTCTTCTCCACTTGCTCTTGTGCCTTTGACTGAGATTTCTTGTTATCCTGCTTGTCCTTCGGCTTTTCATTATTAGGCTTCTTGTTGGCTTCATTTTGCTTTGAATCCTGCTGCTGCTGCTGTTTCTTACCCTCCTGTTTTTTCTTTCCCTGCTGCTGCTGCTGTTGCTGCTGCTGTTGCTGTTGTTGCTGCTGTTGTTGCTGCTGCTTGTTGTCCTTATTCTCCTTATTCGATTTCTTGGCATCCTTCGGTTTCTCTGCTGCGGGCTTTGCCTGCTGCTCCTGCTGTTTATTGTTTTTCTTATCGATAGCTGGAGCCGGCTGCTGCTGCTGCTGTTGCTTGTCAGCCTCCAACTTGGCGACCTCATCGAAATCATCCACCAGCATGGGCACATCTTCATCCTCCTCGCCATTGTTGGCTGCTACTGGTCCGCCACTTTCAGGGCTCTTCTGATTATTCGACATGGTGTTGGCATACATGCGCAGCTGAACGACTGTCTCCTGACCGAGCTGAGGCAATATCTCTGGGAGCATTTCGACAATCTTCTTCGTCTCGCCATGACCGGTCACTGCAAATGTATTTGCGGAGAGTGAGGCCTGTGCTTTGGGATTGTTAAAATGTATGACTGTTAGATCATCCTTGATAATGTTGACCTCCTCTATGCCGGGTATGGTGCTCACGGAGAGCTTCTTCAGTGAGCTTTGCAGCTTCTTGTCATCGGTTGCGGCCGTCTGGTGCATGACCTTCTTTTTGCGACGGGGCGTTCCCTTGCCACCGATGCGCACCTGCGCCTGCAGCCGCTTCAGTTTCTCCACATTCATTTTGGTTATACGCTTTACTCTATAATCGATATATAAATTAGATATATACATATAAGTAAAAATATGTATTACATAAAGTGTGGAAATGTGTGTCGAAGAAGACAATACCTCAGATATTTGCAAAGAGACGACAAATACGACTACGACGTGCAACTCCAATGGCGAAATGCGAATAAATGCAGCCAGGCAACCGATCCACAAGCAGCCGGACCCCAACACACGCTAGCAGCGCTGCTTTTATTAATAACGCCGAACTGCGCGAATTTCCTCTCGCCAGCTTTATTTTTGTTGTGCTAGCAATTTCTGCATTTATTTTTCGTTTTTGAAATACGCCTCGCTGAAAACGAAACAACATAAAAATGTTGCCGCCGAATCGCGGGTAACTTATAAATAGCATCGAATCTCTATGCGAGCCTCCGGCAGCTGGTCCCGCTGCTGTTGCTATTTGTTTAGTGTTTCGAGTTCTGTGTTGTAGCAGAGTAGCGAAACTCGGCGTGTGGCTGCGTTATAGTTGTGCCAAACACACACACACATACACACACAACAAGTAAAAACACACACACCACCACCGAAACACACACAAATCCCATATCCAAAGCGAGTTCGTGTCCTCATCGGCTGTTGAACTATTGACGACAAACTGGACTCTCGCATTTGGCTCTCGAGGCAGTGAGTCAGAAATAGAAATACAAACCATAAACTTTTGCTGCTGAGAGTGTATATATTATATATATATTTATATATACACGGATCGTTTCACAAATAACTTAAGAACATAACAAGATGAGTCTTTTTCGGTTTCACGAATTTTTTATACCCTTCCAGATTTAGGTTCTATTTCCTGTTTCATACAGACATTGTTGCTTATGCGTTAGGAGCAGCATTTAGCTCAAAATTTATGTTTCAATTAAAAACTTCAAAATTACAGTAAATGGTAGACTATTTGAAATGGAAGATTAGTTCACATTCAATTCAACTCAGTCTTAAATAATGACTAAGCATATATTAACATAATCCCATAATGGGTTAGACACATTTCATGACCAAACTAAAACATACTCTGCAAGGGTATAAAAAATGAACAATTTCGAAACCACTGTGTTTTCAAATAAATATTTTATAGCTAGCCTATTTGTGTGTTCATTACATTGCTGCTTAATGATAAATACTTAATGACATATGGAATACAGGAGAGAGTGAGATACACTTAAGAGACACTCAAAGTGGCTGCTGATCATTTGCCATATTAGCTGCAAGTTTGTATAACTTCTTAATTTCCGATTTGGCGCATGCATCGTAGATCTTCTGATGCATTTCCTGCTCTTGCTCAATGAGCGGCTCAATGGCCGTGAACCTTGCCTGCTCCGCCTCCAGCTCAGCCAGCATGGCTAGATTCTGTGCAGAGTAATGAAAGTGAGTAAAGATTAGATGGAGAGTGGCTTTAATTTAAATCGGACTAACCTGCCGATAGCGCAGCTTCAGTTCCTCCATTTCGGCAGCCTTTGCTTCCTCCTCGGCACTGGTGAAGTTCTGTTCCAGCTCAAAGTCCTTGATGTTCAGGACATGCGACGGAACCTGAAAGTTAGTTTTATCCAACTCGTGCATGTGATCTAGTTTCGCCTGAACGGATTTCTGCATGAGACTTATCACTTTGTCCTTTTGCTCATTCAGCAGCACGGATGTGGCAGGCGTTTCAATCTTCTTAATGGTCGATTCAACAGCTTTGCCAACGAGCGCTTGCACCAGATTTTCGCCTTGGAAAAAAATACACAAATTGTAAGCAACGCAGTTGACTTAGTGCAACAATGCATTTAACCTACGCTCCAAGGAAATTTGTTCAGGCGTAAAATTGAAGAACTCCAAATTATAGGCGCTTTGCTCGAAATCCATTTTGTTTTATGTTTAATCTTTAAGAACAAACAAATATGATGCTAAAATTTGCGCGAATCTCTTAAAAAACATATTAATCGAGCATAGCGATAGTTGGCGTGATATCGATAGTTGAATGATCCAACGGTGTGACCAGATCTGTCGTGTTTGAAAAAACTTCTCTTGAACTGAATATGTGCTTTTAAATAATAATAAATTTAAATAATCATGAAGACTTGCTGTAAAACAGCACTAAAACTGCTCTTTTCTGTTGCACAAATTCATTTGTGTGTTTTACGTTGACTATAATAGCGATAAATTGAAAAACAAGAAAAAATACTTAATTTAATACTAGAGAGAATTGTTGCATTGCTGAAGGCTGCAATTGTCCGGCAGTTAAACATAACCCCACATAGAATTCTGATTAGGTTCTTGCGTTCGTGTGCAGTGTTTGTTGACAATATTCAAACATGAGATTAGTGTCAACATAAATAAGATTTCCAAGCTAATAATAAAACCATTTCATACAATATTGGTACTTGTTTGTGCTCTGCCTAAATGCTCATGCAAAAATGTTCAACGAATGGCATTCGGGGGCTTTTTTCCCGCGCCTTTGCCACCAAACAACATATTGTTGTACATCCCGAGATTCGATATGCCCTGGAACACAGGCAGCCTGTGGTGGCGTTGGAATCGACGATTATCACCCATGGCATGCCCATGCCTGAAAATGTGGAAACAGCGCTACAGGTGGAGCAGGAGGTGCGTCAAAACGGAGCTCTGCCGGCCACAATTGGCATAATTGATGGCTGCATCAAAGTTGGCCTAACACAGGAGGAGTTGCTCACGTTGGCGCAGAAGCCGCGCGAGGAGGTCATCAAGTGCTCACGCCGCGATCTGCCCTATGTGGTCGCAACGGGACAAAGTGGTGGTACAACAGTGGCGGCCACCATGATTGCGGCGCATCGCGTCGGCATCCCAATCTTTGCCACTGGCGGCGTTGGTGGCGTTCATCGCGAAGGTCACATAACGCTCGATGTCTCTGCGGATCTCGTTGAGCTCGGACGCACACCAGTCGCCGTCGTCTGCAGCGGTGTCAAGTCCATATTGGATATACCGCGCACGCTGGAGTATCTGGAGACGCAGGGTGTCTGCGTCGCCAGCTATCAGAGTGCAGGTGGCATTTTCCCTGACTTCTATACGCGCGACAGTGGCTGCAAGGTGCCCTATAATCTGTCCACCGCTGCCCAAGCCGCAGCGCTCCTCAAATCATGGCGAGAGCTGCAACTGGAGTCCGGCGTGCTTATCGGCGTGCCCATTCCACTTGAATATGCCGCCGAGAAGACAGCCATAGATGCGGCAATTAGGGAAGCAAATGCTGCAGCTCAGGCGCAAGGCGTTAGCGGCAAGGAGGTGACTCCTTTCCTGCTGGCGCACATCGCACAGTTAACCAAGGGTCGAAGTCTGCAGGCGAACATTGCGCTGATCAGGAATAATGCCGCAGTGGCGGCACAAATTGCCTGCGAGCTGGCAAATAAATCTGTCCAAAAGACATCCCCGAGCGGCGGTTCCTCAAGAAAGCCCCTTGTGATAGGCGCTTCCATTCTGGACTTGTCATTCACAGTCAAAGAACAAAGGGATATGCAGCTGGATGGCGCCACCTATTCAGCTGTAACCAAACAGGCAGCTGGTGGCGTTGGACGCAATATTGCCGAGGGCATCTATAAGCTCTATGGAGCAGTTAACCTCATCTCTGCGGTGGGCAGCGATCAGCTGGGACATATGCTGCGACAGTTGATGCCGGCGGCACTGCAACGTAGTCTTATTGTGGATGAGACTCATGCCACATCACTCTGCTCGCTGGTCTTTGATCAGTCCGGAGATTGCAAGCTGATCCTGGGTGACATGGAGGTGCACGATAGCATTACGCCTGAGGTGCTAGCCACACAATCCGATCTCTTCTCGGATGCACCACTCATTGTGATGGACTGCAATATATCGGAGCAGGCAATGGCCTGCACACTGCAGCTGGCCCAGAAGTTTCAGGTAAAGCGAACCGAACTCTAAAATAATACTTAGTTTGAAATTGGAAAACGATGTTTAAAAAATAAAAATCAATAAACAACTTTCTTTTCAGGTGCCTGTGTTCTTTGAGCCCACGGATATGTATATAGCTGGCAAACCGTTCAAGCTGAGCCCGGACCTAACGCAGAACATTCGTCTGCTCAAGCCGAACATGCACGAACTGAAGACCATTGTGGAGACCATAACTGGACAGCATGTGGCGTGGCAGCCAAATACGAAAGTGGCACGCTCCCAGCTGCTGGAGCAGGCCAAGCAGCTGTTGCAGCAAATTGAAAAGCATTTCAATTGCATCATTGCGACCTTGGGGGATCATGGAGTGTTGCTCAGTTTTCGCTCCGATGCCGAATGCGATGCGAGCAAGTTGCTCTCACTGACGCCCAGCTGTGAGCACATTACACGCTTCTATGCGGCGCCCAAGGTGCAGAATATAGTGAATGTGTCCGGTGCGGGTGATAGTTTCTGTGCCGGCTTCATTACCGCGCTGTTGAAGGATCACAGTTTAGATGAATGCGTCGCCGCGGGTTTTGTGTCGGCGGAGCGAGCTTTACTCTCCGAATCGGCGGTGCCGGCAACATATTTCCCCGATCCGCAAACATTCGAGAGCAACTTCAAGCAGACGCTGAAATCGCTGCAGTGCCGGAGCATCTAGAGTCTGAAACAGAAATCAGACGCGACGACTACTTGAACACTCAGGGTTCTCAATTTATTGTTAATATATAAATATATATATATATCTGGATTCCTATATGTGTACGAAGAAAGCTTGTCAATGGGCCCATCTGAAAGAGTGGCAATAAATGTGATGTTTGTTATGGTTCCTTTCTATAATATATATTTTCATTTGATTTAACTCACAGCTTTATCACTTTATCCTTGCCGCCGGAGGCAACGCGTGAACCATCGGGCGCCCAATCAACGGCAAAGACTTCGTCCGCGTGTCCAGGCAGTTCCTGTGCCATTTTCTTGCTTTGGACGCTCCACACTGCACAACGGTCAATTGGATTATTAATAAGAGCAAACATTTGAATATCAATTTGATATATATATAGAGGACCGATCTAAAGAAGTTGTTACTTATATTTAGAAACTAAAAATTATTAACTGTGGAGAAAAGGATGGATCCATCCTAATATGTGATTACTTAAATGTAGAAACTTAATAAAGTCTTTTGCAATATTCAAATGCACCCCACAAGTTAATCCAAATCAGATCAGCTTAATAGATACGCACCCTTCAACGTGGAGTCCTTGCTGCCGGAGACAATTAAGCGCGAATCCGCTGACCAGGCCAGCGTGTAGACGGCCTGCACATGACCGCGGAATGTAGCTATGAATTTGCCGTCATGTGCACGCCACAGACGGACAGATTTGTCAAAGGATGCGGAGGCGATAAGTTTCACATCCGGCGAGTACTTGACATCGTTCACCACATTCTGGTGGCCAGTCATGCGTTCCACGCACTTGTTCTGGTTGTTGCGCCACAAGTATAAAGTGTTGTCGTCCGAGCAGGATACCAGCGATTCCACCTCATCCGGACAGACGGCCTGGTAGCGCTTCAGTGCGGCTGCGCGTAATTCCTCAGCTTAAAGGTGCAGGTGGGAAATTATTGTAATATGATATTGAATAGGTATAATTACTGCAACACTTACTGCTCATGCTGAGATGCGACTTGAGACGATCCTTTAGCGGCTGAAAGGGTCCCGTGCGCAGCACATAATCCGTGCTCAGCGCAATGCTGTTCACCCAGTGGGCATGGCCGGAGTAGGTGCGACACAGGATGCCATCGGCAGCACGCCACATCTTCACAGTGCGATCCTTGGACGAGGTGTAAATCAAACCAGCGCCTCCCCAGCGCACGGCAGTGACGGCATTCGTGTGCCCAGCGATATTGAGCAGACACTGACCGAGTTTAACATCCCAGATGCGACAGTCACCGTCGCTACTGGCCGACGCCAATTTACGGCACTCGGGATTCTGATGATAAGGCTCCCAGCTGAGGGCGTTGATGTGCTTCCTATGGCCGGTCAAGGTTCGACCGACTTGCTGCCCCGTCTCCGGATTCCAGATAATGATGTTACCTGATTTACAAGCGCTCGCGAGCCGTTGGCCATCCGGCGCCCAGGCGACGCAGAGCACCCACTGCTTGTGGCCGGTGCAGGTGAAATGTGGCGTCTCTGTATTGAGATCCCATAAGCGCACTGTTGTATCCCCACTGCCACTGGCCAAGTGAGCACCGTCTGGACTAAAATGCAGCGATACAATCGCCTCGGCATGTCCCGGCATGGAGCTTGTGCATCTGGTCACTGGACGCACTTTGAAAACAGCCTGCGGCTGATAGACGATGTCGATAACATTCTCCGTGTCCACAGTGCTCAGATCGAGTGTGTCCTCCAGTGACTTCTTGATCTCATCTTCGCCCACAAAGAACAGATAAGGTGTCGCTTCCTCGTTCTTCAGCAGGGCATTGCAAATGAGGCCCAGCTGCTGTGTTGTAATCCCCGAGGGCAGATCTATCGGTGGACCGGCCTCTTCGCCAGTGTCTGATATTAGGCGGGCTTGCAGCGTCTGTGGCGCCACAATCACCGCTTCAGGTTTACTTTCCGTTTTCTGTTTCTTTGCGAACATTATGCGCGTTGAGCAGTCGAAGGAAAACACGCATAAATTAAAACAACAAAACAAAACACGTGCGCCGCTGCTCTGTTAACTGTTAACAGTTTGCTAACATGTTAGTAACATATATTTTTCTGAATGACAAATGTTCTGTCTTACAAGAACATGATAAACTGCACTTATGTTTTTTCGCTCGGCTTTACAAAGTTTTGATTCTAAGTAATCATATATAAAATATATATGATTTTAGCCGGCAAAAGCTGGCACGAATTTTAAAATTAACAGCTGTTGATGTTAGCAGACCGATGACAGAACAACCATATCGTAATCGATAATCACCACTTAGGTGTTGCTTAATGCTTATCGGTATATGTAACCATTTCACAGCACTGTCGAACAATTTTCATGTACGCGTTTTTCATACGTTTGCCATACGTTTGTCGTACGTTTGTTAAATAAAAATAAAATGGAAAATATACCGCGTACTCATGAAGGTAAGTGAAACGTTATTATTAATATGCTGTAGATAACACTAATTAATATTGGTGTACAGAAAATTGCCCTAGGAAACGGTTAATTTCCTTGTTGTATGTTGTATGTTTGTTTTTTTTTCGCTCTACAATAAAAATCAATTTTAATGTATTTAATTACATTTTCAGACATTGAGGCGCAAATATCGGATATACAAGCTAAAAAGACAGAGTTGGCGAAGACAAATGCGGCGGCGGCAGGTGTTGGTCTGCTGGAAAGCGGTGGTTTCTTCGACACCGATCTGTACGACGATGAGGCGGCAACGGGAAAGGGGGCTAAGGGTCGCTACGAGGGCTATAACACATCGATAGCGGCCAACGATGATGAGGGTGACGAGGATGAGGAGGACGATGGCTTCCCAGTGCCACAGAAACGTACCACATACACGGCACCCATATCTGTGCTGAAGGATGTGACACAGGGCAAGGAGGATGTTGATCCACTGGCGGATCGCCGGCGACCTACAATTGCCGATCGCGAAGATGAGTACAGACAGAAGAGACGTCGCATTATAATCTCGCCGGATCGTGCGGATCCCTTTGCGGATGGCGGCAAGACACCGGATGTGGGCTCCCGCACCTACACGGACATTATGCGTGAACAGATGCTCAAGGGCGAGGAGTCGGAGCTGCGTAGACGCATCATGGAGAAGTCCAAGGAGGGCACTCTCGTAAAATCTTCAAATGGTGAAAGTGCCGCATCTAAGGATGGCGGACGAAAGCGTGGGCGCTGGGATCAGACAGTCAGCGATAGCTTCATACCCGCCAAAGTGGCAGCCACGCCCAGCAGCGCAGCAACGCCCACCTGGGAGGACGTAAGTAAAAATTAAATATGTATTTATATTTAGGGCAAGGGAGCAGAGCTAATCCCGGCAATCATTGAACAGTTTACAGATAAAAACTAATAAATCTTTGTTGTCATTAATTTCAGAAAACACCTGGAGATCATCGTTGGGATGAAACACCCGGTCACAAGGGTAGCGAGACACCTGGGGCAACACCTGGACTGGGCACACGCATCTGGGATGCGACGCCGGCGCACGCCATGACGCCTGGACATGAGACGCCCGGCCATGAGAAGTCGGCGCGTCGCAATCGCTGGGATGAGACACCAAAGACGGAGCGTGAGACGCCCGGACACAGCGGCTGGGCCGAGACACCCAAGCCGGATCGCACGGGCAGCGGTGCCGGCGAGAGCATCTCCATTGAATCAACGCCGGGCGCGTCTAAGCGACGATCGCGATGGGACGAAACGCCCTCAAATGCAACCCCTTCGATAACGCCCAGCAATAGCAGCGCCATGACGCCCAGCATGACGCCACATGTAACACCAGGACATGGCACACCCATGCTCACACCCGGTGGCAGCACACCCATCGGCGTCAAAGCCATGGCCATGGCAACTCCCACGCCAGGAGCACTGGCCGCGATGACACCAGAGCAACTGCAAGCCTACCGCTGGGAGAAGGAAATCGATGAACGAAACAGACCCTACACTGACGAGGAGCTCGATCAAATGTTTCCGCCCGGCTATAAGATATTGCCACCGCCCGCCGGATATGTGCCACTGCGCACTCCTGGACGCAAGCTAATGGCCACGCCCACGCCCATAGCTGGCACACCGGCTGGTTTCTTCATTCAGGTGGAGGATAAGAATGCCAAATTTATGGACAACCAGCCAAAGGGACTGAATCTACCGTTTATGAAGCCAGAGGATGCGCAATATTTCGACAAGCTGCTCGTCGATGTCAATGAGGATGCCCTGTCGCCCGAGGAGCTGAAGGAGCGTAAAATAATGAAACTATTGCTGACCATCAAGAATGGTTCGCCACCAATGCGTAAATCTGCACTGCGTCAGATGACGGACAAGGCACGAGAATTTGGAGCTGGACCGCTATTCAATCAGATTCTTCCACTCTTGATGTCGCCCACGCTAGAGGATCAGGAGCGGCATTTGCTTGTCAAGGTCATCGATCGTGTACTGTACAAACTGGATGATCTGGTGCGTCCGTTTGTGCACAAAATTCTGGTGGTCATTGAGCCGCTGCTTATTGATGAGGATTACTATGCACGTATCGAAGGCCGAGAGATTATATCGAATTTGGCCAAAGCTGCTGGCCTGGCAACAATGATATCCACCATGCGACCGGATATTGACAACATTGATGAGTACGTGAGGAATACAACGGCGCGTGCATTTGCCGTGGTTGCCTCCGCCTTGGGAATACCCTCGTTGCTGCCCTTCCTGAAAGCTGTGTGCAAATCAAAGAAGTCGTGGCAGGCACGGCACACTGGCATTAAGATTGTGCAACAGATTGCTATACTTATGGGTTGCGCCATTCTGCCGCATCTCAAGGCACTGGTGGAGATCATCGAGCACGGACTGGTAGATGAGCAGCAGAAGGTGCGTACCATAACAGCGCTGGCAATTGCAGCGCTTGCCGAGGCAGCAACTCCATATGGCATTGAGTCCTTCGATTCTGTGCTGAAGCCCCTGTGGAAGGGCATAAGGACGCATCGTGGCAAGGGTCTGGCTGCGTTCCTCAAGGCCATTGGTTATCTAATACCCCTGATGGATGCCGAGTATGCCAATTATTATACACGTGAGGTGATGTTGATTCTGATCCGTGAGTTCCAGTCGCCCGACGAGGAGATGAAGAAGATTGTGCTCAAGGTGGTGAAGCAATGTTGCGCCACAGATGGTGTGGAGCCGCAGTACATCAAGGAGGAGATTTTGCCGCACTTTTTCAAATTCTTTTGGAATCATCGAATGGCACTGGACAGACGCAACTATCGCCAGCTGGTCGACACCACAGTGGAGATTGCCAACAAGGTGGGCACCTCGGAGATCATTAATCGTGTCGTCGATGATCTGAAGGATGAGAATGAACAGTATCGTAAGATGGTCATGGAAACGGTCGAGAAGATTATGGGCAATCTTGGCGCAGCGGATATTGATTCACGTCTCGAGGAGCAGCTCATTGATGGCATCCTATATGCCTTTCAAGAGCAGACCACCGAGGATGTGGTCATGCTCAATGGCTTTGGCACCATCGTCAATCAGCTGGGCAAGCGTGTGAAACCGTATTTGCCACAGATTTGCGGCACCATTTTGTGGCGTCTCAATAACAAATCCGCCAAGGTTCGTCAGCAGGCGGCCGATCTTATCTCACGCATCGCTGTTGTGATGAAGACGTGCCAGGAGGAGAAGCTCATGGGCCATCTGGGCGTGGTGCTCTACGAGTATTTGGGCGAGGAGTACCCGGAGGTGCTTGGCAGCATTCTGGGTGCACTCAAGGCTATTGTCAATGTCATTGGCATGACCAAGATGACGCCACCGATCAAGGATCTGCTGCCCCGCCTGACGCCCATACTTAAGAACCGGCACGAGAAAGTGCAGGAGAACTGCATCGATTTAGTTGGTCGAATTGCTGATCGCGGACCGGAATACGTCTCGGCGAGAGAATGGATGCGCATCTGTTTTGAGCTGCTGGAGCTGCTCAAGGCCCACAAGAAGGCGATCCGGCGAGCGACGGTGAACACCTTCGGTTATATAGCCAAGGCAATTGGACCACACGATGTGCTTGCCACGCTGTTGAATAACCTCAAAGTGCAGGAGCGACAGAATCGTGTCTGCACCACGGTGGCCATTGCCATTGTTGCGGAGACCTGTCGTCCCTTCACCGTGCTCCCTGCCCTGATGAATGAGTACCGTGTGCCAGAGCTGAATGTACAGAATGGTGTTCTCAAATCTCTATCATTTCTCTTCGAATACATTGGCGAGATGGGCAAGGACTATATTTATGCGGTGTGCCCCCTGCTCGAGGATGCTCTAATGGATCGCGATCTGGTGCATCGCCAGACGGCCTGTTCGGCCATCAAGCACATGTCCCTCGGCGTCTATGGGTTTGGCTGCGAGGATGCTCTCACGCATCTGCTCAATTATGTGTGGCCGAACATCTTTGAGACATCGCCACATCTGGTGCAGGCCTTTATGGACTCGGTGGATGGGCTGCGAGTGTCGTTGGGCTCCATCAAGATACTGCAGTACACGTTGCAGGGTCTGTTTCATCCGGCGCGCAAGGTTCGCGATGTCTACTGGAAGATCTACAATTCGCTGTATATTGGTGGGCAGGATTCGCTCATCGCTGGCTATCCGCGGATCACCAACGATCCGAAGAACCAGTACGAGCGCTACGAGCTAGATTATACACTCTAAGCGGGAGCAGCTTGGGCCGGAACCGGAGCCGGATGAGCAGCAGCATCTAATTTACTCTAGTTTGGTTAAGATGAATTACACAAATATAACGCGAATTGTACAAAACGAGTATTTATTCTAAATTTTTATAGTAGTTGCGCAACATAATGGAACTACTGTGGACCAGAGCTGTAATCGTATAATTCATTAACTGCATTTAAATACAATTTTAGTTACCAGCAATTATACTGAGCATTTGTAATGGTAATTACAATTTTAAATTACTAGCAACATCAATTACAATTACTTAAGTAAGTTGACTTTAGGCATTAGTACTGAGCATCGGTATATTGGATGTGTGTATTTAATTACTAGCAATAACAAATACTTGGAGTAATGATAATTTTCAGTTAAGTATCCAATCCAGTGACGCATCTTTTTGTTGCCAGAAAATTGCGATTAATTCAATTATATTACCATTCCGCATCAATTTTTGTTATTGCCAGCAATTAAAAAGTAATTTAGCTGGAATCCATAATCGCCCATTAGTTCATTGACATTTTGAAATATCAATAATTATAATTACGATTAGTACTTTTGTTTTTTGCAATTCTTTTTGAGCAATTGTAATGGCAATTAAAGTTTTATTACCAAATAATTGATATAGGATATTGTCTTTTTTATCTTGCGATTAATTTGTTTTTTCATAAATACTTTAGTAGTGGTATTCAATTTTGGCATAACTTCTTATCAATTGCAGTGGTAATTGTACAAAAATTACCGAAAGATTGAATTTTTATATAAAAAGATATTAATTAATTGCCAGCAATTTGACAATTACTTCGAGTAATTATGTTTAATTACTGAGTAATTGATATAGTGGAAATTGTGAATTTCTTTTCATTCTAAGTAATTACAGCTCTGCTGTGAACTAATCTTTTGGCTTAGGCATTAATACAAGTATGTGTGCTTATGTGTGTGTATGTGTGTGTTGGATTATCATTTGGAGAAGTGTTCCCGGTTGCCTGCTATCGTCGCAGCATGGACTCGACAATATCGATGAGGCTCTGCAGTCCGAACATATAATTATGATCCGGTTGCGCGTCCTCAGCCGGAAAGATGTGCGCAAAGTCAATGCAACGCACACGTACCCATTGACTTGCTGCAGTGGTGGGCAGGACAGGATCCGCAGCAGCCTGATGGTAGCCATTAAGCAGCGGCTTAGTCGCCAAACTTTGTAGCTGCTCAAAGTCATAGCAGATGAGCAGGGAGCTGGCGTAGAAGTGGAGCAGCCGTTGTCGCTTGAACCAGGAGCGGATGCCACGCAGCTGGCGGAGCACCTCGTGCAGCAGCACATCGCAGTGGGGCTTGCTGTCCGTGTTGAAAAACAGTGCCAATGCCTTGTGGAATCCCTCAATATTCAGACTTTTGCCAAAGTCCCGACCATGCCGAATGAGTGTAGTCTCCTCCGGCTGATGCTTGTCGCGTCGATAGACCTGGAAGCCGGGCAGACACAAGCCCAGATTCTGCTTACAAATCACATACTTTTGTTCTTCAATGGTGCGCTTGTGTGGCGATGACAACGGATCCCAGGTGCGCCGTCCGATCTTCACGTCCATGACGCATGGCTTGGCCATGCCGTGAGTCAGATCCTCCAGGTTGATGAACGTGTGCTCACGCTGATTTACAACCAGTTTCACCGGGCCGTAGTAGCGAGGAACGTACGCCGCGAGAGCGGCCAACACACCCGAGTCCGCTTCACCTGTCCCACCGTCGCCAGCGCCGTTGAGGTTATTGCCAGTGATGATGGGGGGCGTTGCACCCGCTGGTGACGACGCAATTGACACCGTCGCCACAGCTGCCGTCGCCGCCGCTAGTGACTCATAGAAGTTCAATTCACGCACACCGCACTCCGGTTTGCCCAGCGGCTTGAAAACGCGGCCTTCGCCAGCCGCTTGGAGCAGTCCGACGGCAGTGGAATTTGTTGCCTCGAATGTGTGGCCTGCGACCTGTGTGCCCAGCTGGCGGTAGCCCATCGGTACGACTGGCGATGCTGTCACATTTTCTTGTTCCTTTTTGGCCATGTCTGGACTCGCACTCAAAAATCTCAAAGCAGCAACAACTGCAGCAAAAACAGCGCAAAAACAAAAGTAGTGTTGCAAAGCGGCGCTCTCTGATAAAAATAGTGGTTTTTAATTAGCATGTTACTCATAAGGGTAAACTTGATTTAGCATATCATAAAGCATCTTGCGATTCGTCGCAGCTTATGAAACGCAGTACTATAGCTGACACATATAGTTCATAATATAATGACAGAATTGTTATATTTTTAGCAGATTACACAAAAAGATAAGCTTAAATACATTTATTTCATTCATAAAACCTATTTTATTATTTGTTGTCAAATCATAAAAAAGTTTACTTGCTCTTTTGATTTATGGCGGCAATTTAGAAAAGGCAGTGCTGCAAAGCGACTGAAAGCTGATAATACAGGTTTATTTTTGCATGCAGATCTTAGAAGTTTACATAATTGCATGAACTCTACGTGAATTACTTGCTTTATTTCAAATACTTGCAAAATAATGCGCTGATTTTATTTAATTCGTCAATTAATAAAAATAAGTGCTGACAACGACTGCAACTTGTTGGGCAATATCGTTATCGCTTATCGTTATCGTCCGATGCAAGGCTGGGAGTGGTTGTCGATGTCGTTGTTGATATTTTAGTTTAGTTTACAAGTTTATTAACAATATTGCTATTGCTAATTGCTGAATAAGATAGCAGCAGATTTGTGAACAACTGCGTGATGAAATCCTGGCAGATAGCTTTGCTGGCCGTGGCCGCCGTTTATCTGTGTAGCCAAGGTGAGCATTTTTGTAGCCACACCTTAAATGACAACAAATCAAATGACACACACATGTGGAAATTGTAAATGCATTTTCCAGTTGATTTTGTACAGGGACTCGAATGCTATGTGTGCTCCAATCAGACGGGCAACACGGAGAAGTGCCTCAACACCATCAAGACCTGCGAGCCGGCTGAGAATGTCTGCGGCACCGAGATACGCTGGGGCAGTCAGCCATATTTCTCAGAAGGTGCACTCAAGCAATATTATGTCTCCAAACGCTGCATGACCAAGGAACAGTGTCAGTCGAAGCGACGTCGCTATATGCAACTGTATTGCACCCACATCTGGTACGAGGATTGGGCATGCAACGAGTGCTGCCAGGGCGATAGATGTAACTATTTTGTGATCGTAAGTGGGGCGTTGGCTGCTTCTTCATTGCCTCTTAATTACTACTGTAATACCTAATCTCTTCCAGAGCGGTGCGAAAACTCGGGAGAGCAACTTGCTGACGTTATTAGCCACGCTGTTAGCAATTGGCCTACTCAAAAGGCGTGGCATAACGCCTTGAAACCAAACGACGAACCTCACTTCAGCTTTTTTTTATATCAAAACGCACAGATCCCATTCCAAGGAAGCTAAGTAATTGTATTTGTAATTGTTTCACATTTGTCCACTAGTTAGTAGTTACCACTATGTGCCGTCCATTTATGTACATTTGTGTATGTAGTTGAAACCGTCCAAAGTGCCTTAATAAGCAGCACGCTCTCTTTTTCTATATATATGGTTGGCTTTTGTTCAAGTTCTAGTTTTTATGTCAAATTTTGCAAGACTTTTCAACGCAGCTATATTTTTTATTATGTGGATTAACTCGTATCGCAAAACTGTAGAGAAAACTGAAAATTAGTTAAAATTTAATGAAAAATCTTGTAGGTATTAAATTCGTGCAAAATTCTTGCAATTTGACATGAAAGCTAAAACATTGAGTTCCGCAACGAGCCTAATAGTTTTAGTAAATCGACTCGAATAATTCAAACATTCTCGAACATTTTTTAAATATCCTTTTGGGTATAGTATCTTCTGAATAACGATAAACGTAAAAAGCTCAATAAAGCAACATTGGCGTTTTCTATTAGCGCTATATTGTGCAAATTTAATATATATATTATCAATGGGCATTCAAATAGGAATTGGGTTTAGCTAGTTGGTGCAGAAGCAGCCGGCGGTTACGGTTACCGTCTTGAAATTCCACTGCGATGGCTGAGTCACCTCCTCGGGCAGCCAGACACCCGGCTTGGGTCCAAGAGTTAACACTTTCACCTTGTACTCGAGCGGCTTGCAGTTGGCGCCTTGCGAGCATTTGGCATCCTGTCGCGATTCACAGACGGCGCTCATCAAGTAGCGGGGGAAGTATGTGCTGCCCAAATCGATGAGATCATTCTAAGGATGAAAGGAACAAGTATCCCAGTTCCACAAAATGAACATAAATTATAATTTACTTGAACTTACCATAACTTTGCAGTCACATGCCGCTGAGTGGGCATTATTTCGCTTGCTGGTGAGCAGATCCTCGTAGAAGTCATTGTAATACATAGGCGGCAGCTGATAGGGCGGCAAAGCGGTCTCCGTTTGATGCACTGTGGCCGGTGTGCTATGCGTCAGGCCAAACAAGGCATTTAACATCTTGGAAGTGCTCTGATTGAGATCAGCATCTATATCGATTGCCTCCGGCTGGACTGCGACTGGAACTGCCGCATGATCTGGGCACTCGCCGAGAAAGCGACTGCAGCGTTTGGGCAAACTGCGCGCGATCAGCGGAGCAGCGTTCAGTTCCTCGTAGGAAACAAAGCGATTCCCGCCGCTGATGCCGCTGACGTCGCACAGGAGCGATAGCGCCAGCGCCGCTAGCATAGAGGCCATCTAAGGAATGGAAAAAATAAAGGAACTATAAAATATGGAAACATCGTACAAGTGCTTTATATTATTTTGTAGTCAATGTGTAATGCATTACCGGAGACATCTATTCTTGTTCTACATCAATAGCCTAGTCAAATATTGATCATTATATTTATGTATCTATAAAAACTCAGCTCTTATTGTAGCAATATTTATGAAACTTTCGGATATATCTGTAATTGCTACAGGCAATATAATTCTCGGAATCAGTTGCTCTATAATATGAGATAAGTTATTTTAAGAACAGCTTTTTTATCTTTAAAAGTTATGGCACCACTTTATCAAAAGTTTCTTTATAAGCATTTGGTCTGTTGCTTTGAATAATTCATCCCTTTTGCTCAAATTCGGAGAACTTCTTTCTGCAAGAGTATGCACACATTCGGGACTTCTTTCTTGTTCTTGTAGTACCCAGCGTTAAACCGTAGAAAAACTCACCCATGGCATTGCTCGAACCGTGCTGCTGGCGAGTTTGGCTCCAATTGCGACTCTGCTGGGGACAGTGGGGCGCTTTTATAGCAACAGGACACAGATGCAGAACAATGGAATAGAATCGCTTCGGATTACCTTTTGTGCTGGATGCTGTCCATTATGGCACGTCACCTGGACAGTAAGAGCAGCAACAGCAGCAGCAGCAGCAGTTGAAACAGAAGCAGTCACAGTATCACTGGCAAACAAAAGGCGCTCAACTGTTGACACAATAACAAAGCACTGTTGTGGAGACTGTGAACGGCGCCGGAGACAGGGGTAACGTTGGGATTGGGGGTGGGGACCCTTGCCTCAAGTGTCAGGGAAGTGAGTGGAGTGTCAATTCCAGGCTATTTATAGACGCAGCCTGACCACTAGCTTTAAGCTCACCCAAAAATGTCTTCAAGTGTTTATGCGTGTGCCCAAAAAAAAAATAAATAAAAATGAAAGAAAGGAAACCCACTGACCCAGACATTTCCCCCCGATGCCAATCGCTGAGGAGCAGCAACAGCAACAGCAACTATGAGCTCATGGGCTGCTAGTCTAACACTAGCGATTCAGGTGCATTTTGGCTCTAGCCCAAAGGCGCTTGGCGGGGGTGGTTGGGGTGTAAATCATTTGTAAGGCTTCACGTGACGGAAAAAAAAACAAGTGAGAACGTTGCAGTCGAAAGTCATAGACTCTGTAATACTCTCGATGTCAGTGTGATCACAATTTAGTAAGTCCTTCTTGGGAGAGAAGCTTATTATTCTAAATATTTTGATTGTGGCTCTAAAACTGTGAGAGATATTGACATTTTATCAGTTGATGATTGAAAGAGTCTCATCAGTAATCTATCTACCAAATTTGATAATTACAGCTAAGTCACCTCTCAGTTAAGCTATTCCAACTCGATCAAAATACTATACTGCAAGGATATTTGCATTCAAAATATAATTTCAACGAAAACACTTTGCGCACTTTATTTATTTGATATAAAGCTAACTTATAGTCGAAAGTTAGAAAGGAGTTTTTACTTGTTCTTATGACGCCAATATATCAATATAAATAATCTCCAGCTTTACAAGCCACTAAGCCTATATACTCTCCTTCCCACTGGGGAGCAGAGTATTGAAAGAAGAACTCGCGCAAACGCCAACGCAATCCTCTAGCACTCAAGTCAGTTGAACGCGCAACGTTGCCCCGCACGGTAGGGGCTTACAGTTTGACAAGCACAATCACACTCACACACTGACACGTGCATGCACGGCTCCAACTGTTAAGCGTGCCTCTCAAACTTTGGTGAGAGTGTGTGTGTGTGTAAAAGGAGTAACAATAACGAAAAGGACGCTTTTTTCGTGTGAATCTCTGCGCAAGTTAATCAAAAGTTCGCTCGCTGGTTGTTGTCGGTTGTTATTGTTGCTGGATCCCGTACAGTTATCCGCTTGGACTGTTAAAGCAGTCTTTCGGGGGAGGAAGCCCTAAGAGTGTTTCGACCCGTTGTTGTTGTGGTTGCTGAAAATCGTTAAAAATAGGCAAATGTTTGCGACTATGTCACGAATTGTCTGAACGACTAAAATCCATCCACATACAAATCACACCAACAAAACTTCACACACCCATTCACACACACACAGCGACGGCTGCACTCAGGATTCGCATGGACAAAGGCACAATGAAGCGCAAGCAGAGAAGATACAGGTTAGCTACAGCAGACTTTGACTATAACAACCATAACGATTTTAACTTTATCATATGAGTTACCAGTAAAAATGAATAGCTTTGAACCTTTTATTTCGCGATGCTTTTGAATATCTCCCTCAGCCTTGAAGCTGTGTTTACCAAACTTATTTTGTGGGAGTATTGATATATTTTCCGAAAGTGTCTCTTCACCAGAAAGTGTCTCCCTCAAACTCCAAAAAGCCTATATCCACCATAACCTTAGAGTCCCCGTAAATAGTTTCAAACATTTTTAATATATACAGTTTTGGAATAACATCTTGACAGTTCTAGACTTTACAGGTTATAGATTTCGCAAGCTATATTTTTTTAATCACAGTTTACAGGTCACAGAAGTTTTATATTTGCGGTCTGCTCAAATTGCAAGTCTCTTACAGATTTATTGCATTTATTTTATCACATCTTGAAGTTTAGAGTCGTCTTCAGTCACTGTTTTTGCGTCAGTCAGTTAATACTTTCGATTTATTATTTTATCTTTCCACACAGAACCACATTTAATACGCTGCAGCTGCAGGAGCTGGAACGGGCCTTTCAGCGCACTCACTATCCGGATGTGTTCTTTCGCGAGGAGCTGGCGGTGCGCATCGAACTGACGGAGGCGCGCGTCCAGGTCTGGTTCCAGAACCGACGGGCCAAGTGGCGCAAGCAGGAGAAGATTGGCGGTGCGGACTATAAGGATGGTTCGGGTCTCGATCTAAATGTGGACTTTGATGATAGCGCCGTGCTGGGACAGCTGGACAGTGCATTGGGTGAGTAGCGATAAGAGAGAGAGAGAGAGAGAGAGAGAGAGAGATTTGGCACAACAACCTTGAACAAAACAAGAGCAGGAGATAGATGCATAGAGTTATTAATGTTGACTAAAATCAGAGATTTAATTGTGATTCCCAAATTGCAGCTGGTGGCGGCACACTGCTCCCAGATACTCCACCGCAGTCTTCGAACTCCCTGGACAATGAGCTGAAGGCGCCTTATGGCACCGGAGGACTTTCGCCATCCCGTCTGTCGCCCAACATCTTTCTGAATCTCAATATTGATCACTTGGGATTGGAGCGCGGTGGCAGCGGTCTGTCCATGGAGTGGTCCACCTACCCGCCGTCCACGAGCTCCACGCATGCTCCAGAGCTGACAACAACAGGAACAACAACAACAACACAACACCAGCAGCACGAGCAGCAGCATCACTCTCATTCTCATCCGCACCAACAACAACAACTGCTGCTGGATCAGGATCAGGAGCAGCAGCAGCAGCAACATGTTTGTCCGTTGCAGCATCAGGCATTGGCCAGTGCTTTTGGCGCTTCCCTCGATTTGGACATGTCGGATACCTCTGCCTATGATGAGATGAAGTTTCTCAGTGTGGATCAGTTCACGATCGATAGCTTCAAAGCGGACTGCATTCTGAGCATGGAGCACAGCCTGCAACTGGATGACAAACAGCATCCGCTGACACATCCCAACAGCTCCGCCGACAACTGCAACAACAGCTCTGCCTATGGCGAACCGGATCCGTCTGGTTTGCATTCGCTGTGCCTAGACGGGATCGGGATTGGTGTTGGTATGAGTCTCAATCCCAATTTTGGTGGTCTTTCGCTGCTCAGCTCAGAGTCGGCACCCAAATCGCCGCCTTCACTGCTGGTGCTGGATAAAACGCTGCCCTCGCTTAGCATCGGTGTGGATGGGATTAGTGAGCTGGTGGAGCAACTGCATCATCATGTGGGCGTCTAATAACTAAAGAGTTATGTTTATTTATCTAGGCGAATTCTAAGCATAGTTAATGTTATACGATTTTAGCTGTATTTTTGCTTCACATGCTCTTTATAATATATATTCCTAAGGTGCTTATATTATATACGTTTAGTTTATCGTTTCAGCATGGAAGAACCTTTCTCTGGTAAGATAAAACTTCAATAACTTTGTCGGAATAATCAAGTCAAAGGAAATTTTGCTAATGGGTTTTCCTTAAGAATATTTCAATTGTCGAACTGCTCAGATGCCTCAGCTGCTGCTTGTTGATATTCATCGAAGTTGGAAATATTAAACTATAGTCTTTGCCTCTTCTTAAATCATAACTCCCTCCTCCCCCCCTCTCAATCTATGTCTTTAAGTTTCAGCAATTCTCCTACCCATTGCTTGAGCTATTATCCTGCCTGGTGGCACATGCTTCTACGGATTCCCAAACACTCGTGTGTTTGTATCCCAACAAAGAACACGCACACCCTGTCCCCCCAACCTCGGCACTACCCCATGCCCCCTCTTTAACTCTGCCTGTGTCTGTGTCAGGCAACATTTGGTATTTGTGGCTCGGATTAGAGCCAACTAATTGTATGATTTGAATGGTTTTCGGGTTTTCTCTCAGTTTGTTTGTTCGAAAATAACATTTGCTTTTCCAAACAATGGCGGAGTGCGCGGCTATTGGGGCGCCTCGGGGCAAAGTGCACAGTTGCTCCTACCTACTTAAAAATGTACTACAAAGTACAACACCTCCATTTACCACATTATAATACCCAGCTCCTTCTTTAGCCTCTGCTTGCAATTTCACAAAAATTTCCATTTAGCGTCATTAGCGAAATGGCTGCGAATCACTGTCATAAGCTGCATTGAAGGCCTAAGCTGGGCAAGCTTCTCTTGGATGCCCCCTGGGCAGTCACAGTTACATTTACAGTTACACTCACTATCACAGTCACAGTCGGGGCTTTAAATAAGCGCAACCCTGCCAACGTGAACTGAGTTTAACACTTTTGTAAGCTCTTTGTGGATTTGCCTTATCGGTGAGCTTGGAGGCACCACCATAATGCTCCTATGCTCATACTGCTTGCAGCCTCAGTCATAATCAGGCAGGAATCTCCGCACAATGAGCTAATTGCTGATGAGTTAAAGACGCAGCGAATGGGAACACACCGCAAGCTGGCCACAGCGCCACAGGACACTGCAAGTTGCATTATCCGGCACTCAGAGAAAATATCACAAAAAGTACTCAAAGCAAAGAAAATTATTGAAGAGAAAAATTAACTCTTCTAGCAGCACAAAGTTCTTTCATCAATTTTTAGAGTAAGATAAGCTGATTTGAGTAACAAACTTTTTTTTTTTACTTTTCTGATAATATCTAAAATACTTCGTTCTCGGAAGGCAATTTCTCAAACGAAGTATTTCATTTTATTTAAAATTCGAAGTCTGATTCACAATTACATCAGAAGACAAGTAAACTTAATTTGAACACGAGCAAAACGTACTGAAATGAAAGTTGAAAGGTTTTTTCTTCAAGTGTGCTCTTAAATTGTCATCGCCGGTGACTCGCTGCCATTGGATTGTCCGTGCAACAATGCCACGCAACGGATCTCGGGGTTGGACTTTGATTGTGTTTTGATGGAAGGGGATGGGGTTGGAACTGGGCTTAAGACTGCTCCTGTGGCTGGTCCTTTTTGCCCAAGCCTTGCTCAGTGAGGCGTTGATCAACCCCGTGGACTGTGCCTCAGATCCTGTCAGACATGCACACATGATTTGAAATTAATCGAAAATGTTTCGTGCAAGTTTAAAGAGCATGCGAGCAGAGGCAGGAACGGCAGCAGGATTCGAGCACTTGAGGCTGTGTGCACAAGGACCACAAACTTTAATCGATAGTCAAATAAGCGACGACGACAGAACAATGTCTGGAGACCAGTTTTATATGTATGTGTCTGTGTGTGTGTGTGTGTGCCTTACATAAGGATAACAAGGACAATGACGTTAGCAACCTTGCATTGTGTCCTTACACGCTCTCTCTCTCGCTTTCTCCCTTTCTCTCTCTCTGTCTCTGTCTCGTTTTGCTTTTGTGCTGTAATTTCTCTAACGTTTGTTCATATTTTATATTGAATTCGCCTCGGGCCGCATAAACGCAATAATCGAACATTTTATGGATTAAACTCACCTGCTCGCCTGCTAATCTATTAAAAATGTAGCCCTTGGCTGGGGAAGTCTGCTCGGTGTGCAACGGACTCTAATTGGTGTTTTTGGCTCACAGCTCAACGGGTCAACGAGTTCATTGGTCATGGCTCAAAACTAGGTGGAATATGGATAAACTTAAAACGAATCCTTTTACATATTTCAAACTTTAATAGTTATGGAATTGAAGAGATTAGCTTAAAGCCAATTTATAACTGGGCAGCTTTTTGCTACTGCTAATCTGCGATTTCTATTCTTTGCAAATAAGATTTATATAATTCTTTTGTTTGCGATTTGAAATATATCAAAATATAAAAATAAGAAAATATAACTTGACATGAAGCCAGTTAAAGACATTAAAATTGGGACAGCAAACTTTTAAATGTTTTAGCTATTTTGTGGGTGTTTTAAGTTTAAGTGCAGAGGAAATTGGCACAAAGCAAATATTTTTTATATAATTTTAAAATAATTAAAATATTAAAGGTCTGGAAATAATACCAGATACAGATTGAGAAAAAGTTTCTGTGCTTTTCGAAAAGTTATTATACAAAACTGGAATTTACTCACAAAGTGTACTCTATTTTCAAAGGGAATCAAGGAGCTGCCTTAATATACTTTGTCAAGAGTCTTATCAAGAGTATGTTAAATAAGTTACTTATGGCATGATTAAAACAACAAAATACTGAATACTGTGGCCTTTATCAAAATGAGTTATTCATTATGGGGTTATTCGTTCTGGAGTTATTCATTTGCAGCGCACGAAATCTTACATAATGAAATATTAAAATCAATGTAAAGGTTTGAGTGGGAATGATGTGTTGGGAGAGGGGGGAAGGAGGGTGGGGTACCATATCCTATCCATTCGAAACGTGGAGGTGTTCATGTGAATAAATTGCAATTAACAATATTATTTTTTATTTCAACAAACGAAACGGCGACGAAAGGACTCCCATATGTGATGTGTACATACATATATGTTTATAAAAAACGGCATTCATTTAATTAAAGGCAAATTTAATGGGTAAATATTTCATATGCCACACACACACACGCACACACACACTCACACAAATTTACATACATATACGAAAAAAATATGGCGCTTAAAGGTTGGTATAATTTTTATTTTAAAAACAAAAACTTTCGCCGTTGTATGCCATGTAAATAGGATGTAAAGGATATGGTGCGATGGTGAGGAAGGGGCAGGGGAGAGGGGCGCATGTGCAGCCGGACGCGGGACGCTAACATATATTAAATTTCATGTTGATAAAGCAGAAAAAAATCGAGGAAAAGCGAACAAAATAATATGCGAAGCGTGCACTAGAAAAACAAAAACGAACAAAAATGAAGAAAATTTGAAAAAAATTACAACAAAAACAAAGTGAAGAAATCAAAATTAATAGAGTGCAAATATTTGTAGATTTTTACACGAACTATTAACAAGGCTCACAAACATACAAACGCGTCCCAAAATTAGGGTAGACCGGGAAAAACGAAACTCGAAACTGTCATCATCATCGTCATCGTCATCGTCGAAAAACGTAGAATAGAAGAAAAAAGAAAAGCAGACAACAGACAAGAGAAAAGCAGACACGACCTATGCAAATAGTCGAGAGTAAGTGAGGGACAAAGCATACAAAATGGCGACGGCAAACGAAATCAAAAGATGGTCAGCCAAATGAAGTGGCACAAAAAGAGACAGAGACAGAATGACAGCAAGGAATAAATTTGAATTTTGGCCACCTGGCTGAACTAACTGGCAACTGGTCAAAGGAAAATAACAAGCCAAAGATGTCACAAAACAAAAGGAAACAACACACACAAAAATTGACAACACTCTCTCTCTCTCTCTCTCTATCTCTCTGACGATGTAGCAACAAATATGGTCAAGATTGGAGAGTAGCAGCAAAAGCGACAACAACAACAACAAAAACAATAACAACGAAGGCAACAATAACAGCAAAACATTGTTGCGAAAAGTCATTGTTAAAATGGTTATTCAACTGAAAAGTGCAAAATACAAAACAAGTAGAAGAAGCTGCAGAGTCAACTGGAAGATGCTCTGGGCCAACAGTGATGCCAGTCAAAGCAAAATCAGCTAAACAACTTTGATAAAGCAGCTAAAAATAAATAATAATAATAATAATAATAATAATAAGCACACCTAAACAAAATGAAAAACATTTTAAATATAATAAAGCTTGCAAATTATTAACAAATTAGAGTTTCTGAAAAAACAATATGCAGACGTGCTTCAATTTACGCAAAATCTTATCGTTTTGAACAAAAATCTTCCGTTTCCGAATTTGAGTGCTTTAAACTACGCAAAATTATTGTTAGCGATATGAGTTTCAATTGAAATTCTTAGCTGCAGCAGCTGTTTTTATTTGGAGTAGCAACAACCTACTTCAAAAACATATCTCAATTTACCAAAATTTGGTCCGATAGCATTTTTCAACTGCCAGCATAATTACATTTATAAAAAGCCGATAAATAGCTTCATTTATTACTCAATCAACATTCAGTTAAACAAACTCCTCCCGTCTTGCAAAGTTAATATAGTTTTCTTAGGGTAACATGCTTCAAGCCGTAACACAGTCAAATTATAATCATATTGTAAATTATATAATCCCAAAAAAAAAATAAAGCTAGCTTTTAAGTAGCCAAAAAACTGGCAGCACTGCTGTCAAGCGGCCTTCCAATTAGGATGTGTATGTGCGAAAGAGATAGAAGGCAATTGATTTGCTTGGCTGTTGATGCAAAAATGCAAATGAAATCGGACAACAGTTAAAGTTGAAGATGATGAGACGGCAGAGCTGTCAGCTACAGATACAAAGATACATTTATATATACATATATATACACGAACACCTGAAGGTTTGATACAGCCCCCCCTTTTAGCAGTGCTTCGAGATTGTGTTTTAGGTATATGTATCTTTATGTATCTTTAGCTATAACTGCAGCTATTCATGTCTATATGTATCTGTATATCTGTGTAGCTGTCTGACAACTCCAGCTGTACTTTTCACTTTAGCGCGTAAATTGGTTTTGTTTGGGGTTTTGGCATAACAACGGAGTCCTTCCAAGTGCGTACTTATTTTCCAATTGACCAGCATTGGTCTGTCAGTCTCTTCTGCTAAACCTTATTTTGTATCTTGGCCAGAAGTTTTGGGGCGCTGCCAAAACTGCTCGTATTACGAAACGAGATCAGGTGTGAACAAATCCCACAGGGTCTTCCCTGCAAGTCGATAAACTTTGTCCATAATAAAAACATTTTCTGATTTCTTTATATTTTTTTGTTTGATTTCTTTTGGCTTGGTTTTTATTATTATAATTGTTTTTTGTTTTGTGTTGATTTTTTGTTTGTTTTGTTTTGTTTTTTTTTGTTTTTTTTTTTTCATTTTTGTGTGAATTGTTTAATAATTTAAGTTTAACATTACTTTTTAGCATAGTGTTATCGTTATCGGTTTTGGGTTACAATTTTGTTTACACTTACATTTAAATACAGCGCACGATTGGAAAATAGAAATAAGAAAAGCCTGAGGAAAAATTGATAGTGAAAATTAGAATTGTTATATGGAATTTCAAATGATTAGCACTTGGAAACGTTTTTTTTATTAAACTTCTGACGGGATTGGCTAATTGTATTTCTGAAAAGTGGCTAGAAAAAGGTTCGACAAAAATCATTAAACTTAAAGCATTATTAGGAACACAAATATTTTATTCAACTCCGAAACTAAAGCTTTCTAAATTCCTAACGTTCACTGTATGCTTTTTATTAATTTTTTCTTTTGGACATTGGACACAAAACAACTAGATAAAAATTCACAAACACACACACACACACCCACACACACACATACACATACATTTAAGTGACTGTACATTTTGACTAATCTTCTAAAGCTTCCACTTTTCTCCACCACTTAAAGTCAACAACTTAAAATAACAACAGTTTATATTTTTATTTTTAAATTACCATTACTTATTTATATACAAAACAAAAGGGGGAAGATTGAGAGAAAATATATACAGTTAGGGGTACATTTTATTTGCTGTGGCTTAGGCCACTTCCAGATCGGAGGATTCGTCTGCATCGGTATAAATGTTTGGATCGCTTTTGATGTGCACCAATTGCGTTGCATAGTCGCATTTGATGCCAGCGTTGCCACCTGACAAACTGGGCGATGAGCCAGTGTTGTTGTTGTTGCTATTGCTGCCATTGTTGTTGTTGTTGTTGTTGGGTGTACTTCCACATTGCTCCTCCTGCAGCTTACGCAGTCGCTCCTGCTCCTCGCGCTTCTGTTTGCGCCACTTGGCTCGCCGATTCTTGAACCAGACCTAAATATAGAAAATGGGTGGAGAGAGAAGAGCGGGTCTTAGTTGGCTGTCTTGGTAACAATTTTTGTCGTACGGCTTCAAAAACACTTTCATCCGTTTTTCAAATTATATTTCCTATTATGATGGAGCGCGTGCGACTTTTTTTCTCTTCCTCAACTGTAAATATTTTAATGTTTTTTATGGCTGCCCATTTTACGTTTTATTTTCTTGGTTTATCTGCGTTGAGGCAGTTGCCTAACAACACCCCCTCCCCCCTCCACCCTCCACCCTTACTCGCCTTCAGTTTTTTCGTGTGCCTGGCTTTTCCATTTTCCGCCTAATTAGTTAGCTTATTGTAATTGTAATTAATGTAGAAACAAAAAAAGGACGTTTTTTTACGCGTGTTTCGCCTGTTCCTGTATATTTGGGTCTTTTTAATTAGGCGCCCATACACAGGCCACACCCACTCATACTTGCCCCACTCCCACTCAGGGTATATAGAAATATATATACATATATATGTATAGGTTGCCCGGGCCAACCCCGGCCTACTTAGTTAATTAAAACAAAAGCTTGAGTCAAGTGACTTAGGGGTTAATTTGCTCTGGTTAAAGGCGTAACGAAAGCAGGGGTTGGGGAAGTTTTTGGGCTTTTGGGGGCAACACTGGCCAGTTCCAACCCCTGTCTATGCATCGCGTGTCTCTTGTCATTTTAGCGCAGATGTTGTTGTCGCTGTTGTTGTCTCATTGGCAACGGGGTGGAGCTACAAATATAAACTGGCAACCATCTTTCACCCAATCCCAAAATGCCAAAATGCAACCCCTATTTGTTTTTATTGTTCGCTAAATAAATACAACTGCGAGTAAATGTTGCTATTTTTGTTGTTCAACAATTGCAATTGCAACACAACCCCAAAACAACATTGGAGCGAAAAGTTTAATTACAAAAATTAGCGAAAAAAAATTGGGAAAAGTTTTTGTGTTGTTTTTATTATTTTTGAACAATTTTTACGGGTTGAGTTTGGATTTCCAGTTTTTTGTTATCATTGCCAAAGTGAAAAGTTTTGCCATGCCAGTGCCACGCCCCCAACCTCGCCAACCGCTCGTTGCAAATGGAAAATGTTTATGCAGCAAATCGACTGAATTTGTTGAAATAACACAGTGAGAAAAGAGCAGCTGAGGGCGAATGACATGAGCAAACAGTAGTGTTGGTAAGTGCGCTAAACTCATAAGCACGACCAACTGGCAGCTGACCAATGCCGCCCAAACAACCCCACTTTCCCCTGCCTCCCCCACAACCTGCTCTATCTGTTTGAGCTCATTTAAGTTTTCTGCATGAATTTGTGCAGCTGTTGAGAGAAGTGAATCGGAAGGAGTTGGTAGAAGTAGGTGGAAGGGGAAGGTGGGCGAGGGAAGCGTTGCCTAGCTTATTTACTTAGGGCATGAGGAGGCGGCAAAATGGCGGCAGCCGTGGCAACCTTTGAACTCCCAGCCAGACGAGCCAACTGAAGATGAGTTGGCAACACGGGCTGGCTGACTGGCTGACTGACTGGCTGGCGGCCTTTGAAGTCAGCCACGCCTCGTTGTAGCTGTCAAAATGCATTTGTCAACACACACACACACACACACACAATAAATTTAATTTTCCATCTAATGCATTTTTGATTTCAAATAATTTAATTTTATAAATTGCCTACAGCCATATGTCTATGTGTGTGTCTGTGTGTGTGAGTGAGCGTGAGTGTGTGTGAGTGTGCGTGTGTGCGTTTGTTTCTGTCTATTTATTTTCATAATTTCATAATTTTATGAGCTTAAGTTATTAAAGCCAAACGTACACATTTCCATCTATACATATATAAATAATTTGCGGCTATTTTGATGAGTTTTTCAAAACATGAAAAATGTGAGAAACCTTGAAAATATGACTATTGAATATCCTGCATGAAAATTGTTGCAAAGCAGTCAAATTAACATTTTGATTTAAGAAAAAGCCGTTACCTAATCAAATAAATCTTTAATCTGCAAATTCTTTGTTTTTTTTAGAATATATTGAAAGTTTCTTAATTCTGAATCAGATTTAGTCGCTTTACAGGATATCTCCCATTTATGCGGCATTATGTTAGCCAATCAATATAGTTAGCCGCTTAATTGTGTCAACATGTTGAGCCGCATACAGAAATTGCCTATGCAACAGTTTAAAAGGCAATAATCTAAAAAAAAAGGATTGAAAAAAGGGCAGGATTTTTTTTTATCGCTTGCGGCTCGTTTATTAAAGTTTCATATTTTAATTAACTGTTGGCCACTCAGCCAGTGCCAAACGCATTGAACTCTAATCCGTGGGTTAGGCGGAGGCGGTGGTGGGGTCGGGTTGGGGTAGAAACACCAACAATGAGTGAGTAAAAAACCTAATCCCGTAATTTCTACGACCAACATGGAGTAGCTTTAGCTACACATGTGTGTGTGTGGCATTGCCACCCCGTTTAAAATCTGACTAACGCACAACATTTGCAATAACCCCGGGCGCGTTTTTTTGCGCGGCAAAAGTTGCGCCGAAAAATCGCAGTGAAAATTTTCGACAAATTAAATAAACACAAGGGCAAAAAAAAAGAAGCGAAGCGGGTGTGTGTGTGGGTGTGTGTGGTAGGTGTAGTGCGAGTTTATCCCATGTGTATCAATGAGAATGCCCGGATGCAAATTGAGATTTGCGGTTACTGGCCAAAAATGGGTCGCAAACACAACAAAATGGCTGCCGCTGGAAGCGACAAACTTGGCATGCATGGCCTGCTCGATTGGTCTGGCAGCACTGGCAGGCAGGCAGCCTGAGCCGCCTTGGTAAATATTGCCACAGATTTTTCAGGCAAAAGCGCATAGTTCGCTGATACGTCAAAATCCGCGAAGCAGTTCCCAAAAAAAAAAAAAAATGAACTGAAGTGATGGAGGGGGTGGGGGCATAAACGGGAAACGTGCATGAAATCCATTGAACAAACAGACCGACGGCAGTTGATTTTTAATTAACTACAAAAGCGCTTTATGGCCAGCACCGCTTCGCCAGACAACAGTTGAAGCAGCGGGGGTGGTGTTGGTTGGTTGGTTGGAGCGTTAAACGTGCCATTTTTTGTTATTGTTTGATTTTTGGGGCAACGCAAAATGCTGACCAGTGTTGCTCAGATTACCAAAATGCAATCCAGCGTGAAATGTTGCCATATATGCATAAACATATACACATATAGACATATACATATGCCCATATACATATGCAAGTATGCATGTATGTGTGTGTGTGTGTTTTTTGGTCACACTGGCTGGCTGACTGCTATGATAACTTTGCGCTTCGTTAATCGCTGCAGCTGGTCACGTCTAATTTTCATGTTTTTCCGGCTATGGCAAAAATTTACCCACAAAAGCCAAACACAGAAAGCCCCTCTCCCCCCAAAAAAAAAGTTCGAAGCTGCAAAATGTTGGCTACACTTGATTGGCACACACACACATGTGTATGTGTGTCTTTGTCTCTCTCTCTCTCTCTCTCTCTCTCTCTCTCTCTCTCTCTCTTTCTCTCTCTCTCTCTCCTGCTCTCTGTGTGTGTGCCTGAGGCAGCACAAAATGGCAACACTGCCTTTGCAAGATGCTCTAATTAGTGAAAATTGGCAATGCAAGTCGCTTGGAATTTTCGTCACAAAACAAACCATAGGGAAAGTTGCATGGAGCACCCCGCAACCCCTCCCGCTCATCAGTCCCCGCCAGTTAACGTTACAAATTGCTCTGTCGCCGTTTCGTGTTGTTGGATTAAAAATCGCGCAGCCGTGAAAATTGCTCGTTACGCATTTCTCACTGGCTGCAGTTGTTGTTGTTGGTGGCTTTTATAATGACGAGTATGTGTGTAACAATGCTTTAACATGTGCGCTAATTAAAGGCGAAAAGCCATGACGTCACAATGGCTTACTAATTGCATTGAGTTACACTCGGCAGCTCCAGTTGTTTTCCAATCAGATCAATAGCTCGCTCTCTCACTGTATCTAGTAAGCATCGATACTAATGTAGATGTGTATTGTGTAAGACTGTGGGAACTTTGGAGAGTTGCAGTTTTTTTTCGCAAGTTTTAGTTCTCTCGCAGCTGCCAATGGAGTTAGGCGACATTTTTTTTATTTAAACAATTAAACTGTAAATGACAAACACAAGCATCAGTTTCTCACTCTCTCTCTCTTTCTCCATTTTCTATTTGCAGCTTAATCCGTTTTGTGTGCAATGCTTTTTCGCATGATTGTTTTGTATGCAAAGCAGGACAAACGGTAAATGCGGCTAAAACTGAGAGACATTTGTAGTGCAAGAGAGGAAAGCGCAATAACTGTAACAAATAGTCAGTCAAGCATTCACTTAAGCCGCTGTCTCTTTTCTTTTCCCATTGCTATCGCCAAACACCAACCATGAATGCTTGTACGTGCGACAAGGATGGAGCGACTTATGTTTGCGTGACTGAGTGGAAGCTTTTTTGTTTACGTTTCAGCAATAATGCCCGCTACAATCATGTCAGATCATGTCTCAGCTTAGCTCGCAATCAAAAAAAAAAATTAAAAACTGCTCAAAAATAAAGCAAATTCCAGCGGAAAATAAAGAAATAATAATAAATTTTAGCTGTTACTAATCGCTGGGCATGTAGAGCAACTGGGAGTGTGACCTTTTAAAAGCTTAGCGATGTGCACCTGTAACACCGCCCCCACTCATCTGCCCATCTACTCCCCCCATCCCATATCTGAAGTGGCTTCACCCTCTTTTAGCTCAAGCTTAGCGCGTTTTTGTGTAAATTTATGCAGCTTCGAGGGCAATTTTCGCTCCACAAAATATTTGTCTATGGTTACACGCTTCGACAGCCAAAACTGTAAAGCAAACATGAAGCGGACGTCGCTCAACCCACTACTCCTGCCTCAGCTCCCTTATCCTGGTTTGCCTGGGGCAACAAACGCACTTTGCGCCGCAAAAGTCCCGCGAGACTTGCTGCGAGAGTGTGTGTGAGAGAGAAAGAGAGAGAGAGAGAATGAGAGAGAAAGACCCTTAAACGCTGTCGACGACACAAGGCTCAAAATTGCGAAACGAAATTACGCTCAAGTGTTTGAATAATGGAAAATTATGAAAAATTATAACAGCAACAACAACAACAGTTAGCAGTGGGGAGTCCTGCGATTGTGTTTGTGGCAAAGCAAAGTGGCAACTTTGGTGGGTGGTTCAGTGGTTTCAGTGGTTTTTGTTTGTCCTGCCGGCGGCCACTTTTTCGATTTGTTGTTGTTGTCTGCCTTTTCTTTTTTGTGAAATTAACGAAAATCTGCTGATTCCAGCTCATTGCCATTTTAATTTCATTTGGAAAAGAAGGGAACACCCCTGCTGCAACACACATATGTTTATTATTACTACTGCGAATGCAATCATAATAATAATTATTATTGTAACAATAATAATGGTAATAATAATAATCGCAGTGATTGCCTAATTGCCGTTGCAGCGCAGGTGGCCCAGATCCCGTCGCACATCAAAAGCGGCGCAAACGGAACACCTCCGCCACCAACACACTCGAAGAAAAACCCTAAACTCTTTTTTGTATTACTGTTCACTCTTGTCAAGGCGAGGGCGCAAATCCTGCCACGACGATCACAATAGCCTCAAAGATGAGTGAGCACATTCTCCGTGCGACCCTTTTCCGAGAAGCCAACACCAATATTTGATTCGAGAAGATAGACAGATAGAGACACAGAGAGAGAGAGAGAGAGAGAGAGAGAGAGAGCGAGAATTGAGTAGTTGAAATTATGCTGAGATGATTACTAATTTCTTGGCGACGACAAAGATAAATATTTGCGCTGCGCTTGAAGAGTTTATTGACTTGGCAGCGACTACAAAACTGGACGGCAATAATGATGCTGCATGCTGAACTACGATGATGATGATGATGAACGATTGGAATCCGAAATCGAAATCACCTCAATCACTTGAGCTGCGGGATTAGGCGTATTTGACTTGCACGCACCAATGAGAACAAAAAAGGTATATATACAAATAAATAAATAAATAAATACATACACCAAAAACCCGAACAATGATTGAGGAGAGGCTGTGTGGTCAACCCGCTCCTCTCAACGCTCAACTTTCAGCAGTAGCAGCCAGCTACTGTTTTACTCAGCAGCAGCAGCAGCAGAGAGAAGCAAAGATTGGATGCCTCAACACTCGACTGTCTAAATAAAAATAATAATTGTAAATGATGAAGTCAAAATAAGCAGATCATTTAAATGGCAATGGGAACCCAAACAAACCAACTCTGCATACGATTTGTGATTGTGATTTTGTGATTTTGTGATCTGTGACATACCCTGTACTTATTTGAAGTTAGAGTTATACCCCATAAGGGGTATAAGTAAAGTTATAGTTATAGAAATATGCTGATTTAGTCATCTTTCATCATTTTACTGCGTATATCATATCAGACAACCAATTTTGATAAGTAATCTGTCAGATAAGAAACGCAGCTAAATTTGATTATATTTTCATTCATTTCCGATGCTAAAATTCACTATTGAATATTTAAGTTATCTGATAGTGTATGTAAGATTTCGCAAAGCATTTTAGTTCTTTTATATAATAAAACCAAAATCAAACCAATTTTTTATTTCTGCTTTGAATTTTGTCACATGTTTTTATAGATTGCATTTTACTATGATTACTATTATTTATTACTTATTATTCTACAATCAAACAATATTATTATTGAAAAGAGTATCCCCTTAGTCGAGCACACTACACACACTCAAGCAGTTGCGTTGTGGTTGCTGCTGTTGCTGTTGTCTTAGGCAAGATTTTTAATAATTATTGCCACTTATGGCATTGCCATAACTATAAAGCCAAAGCGAGAGCAGAGGCTCCGAAGAGACTCTCTACTCTATATATATATATGTGTGTGAGTGTGTTTATGTGTGTGTGTTTGACTTTGCCGGACGCGGACATGGGCGGAGTGGGCTCAAGTGGGCTCTGAACTGGCACTTGGCAAGCAAATATGCTAAACAGTAGCTGACAGAGGCCTGTAAGACTAAAGTGCGGACCCAAGAGCGACAGAAGAGAGATATATAGAGAGAGAGCGAAAGAGAGAGAGAGAGAGAGAGAGAGGGGAGACGCTCGCTGAAGTTGATTATGCTGCTTAAGTCAATGACGAACGATGACGATGCACAAGATTTTGGATTTGGATTTGGCTTCTTGGCATAAATGTTATTGTTGTTGCTGCTGTTGTTGTTGTTGTGGTTATTGCTGTTGTTGTTGTCCCTCTGTCAGAGACAAGTTTCAAGTCGCTTTCTTGTATGTTAATTAAGCTCACTATCCCCCAACCCCCCACTCCATACACCCCCTCCTCGCTTTAGCACTGTGATGCTGCAAGTTTTCTGAAGAGTTTTTGTTTTTTTTTTTCTCAATTTAAAATAACGCCGTTTTTGAAATGTTTTCAATTTCAATTACAAATTTCCCATAGCAATCAAAGAGCGTTCTTATCAACAGCAGCAGCCTTGACAATATCCTAATCGGCTTAGAAGCGCCCGCGGTTAAATTTGTCGCCCCGTTTGTCGAAGGCGTCAGTTTCGCCCGCGAGCTAATGTCACACACAGCCTCATCATCAGCATCACCAGCAACACCAGCACCATCAGCACCATCAGCAGATTGTTGCTCCCAGTTTAATACTAATCAACTCTCTGTTAGTTGTCTTAAGCTCGATGGCAAACATTTCAACTAACAAGCATAAACAAGCAGCGTGTACAACCCTTACCCTAACCCTGCTTACCCCTGCCCCAATCCCTAACCCTAACCCAAGTCCTGCCTCAACTCCATAACCCATTTGAGTTATGCACACGCAAATGTCAACATTGTCGCACTTGGCGTGCTTCCTCTATCTGAAGTGGGTGACGTTTTTGTTAGGTGTATGCGCTGGCAGCTACACTCAGCTAAATACTGTGTCCTTAAAAAATGCAAATATTTTTTTGGACCGGTCCCTTTTCTTCTTTTCTCAGAGTACATTTTTGAAACGCATGTGAAAGCTGTGGTTATTGGTTTTAAATAAAAAGCTGGATTCTTGTTAAATTTTAAAATTAAATTGCTGAATTTTCTATATTCTGTTTAAAATTTGAAGATTAGTCTCCATTTTTGGAGAGAGAGTTTCTAAGAAAATAAAAAGAAAAATTTCCATATCAACATTGGTTTTATAACACCAAAATCGACCTCTCAAAAAGCCAAAGTTATTTCTGTCAATTCACCAAACTCCAGTTAATATTTTGTCAAGTGTAAGGGGTAGGTGGTGGTGGTGGTGGTGGGGGGTAGTTGGTTGGGTGGTTTGCTCATTGCCTGTTGGCAGGCTTAAACTTTGACCAGCAGAGCATATTGTCACGGGCAACACGGCAACAACAGGCGACGGTAATCCTTATCAAAGACGCTTTGCCAGCGATATCAAAAGCTATCTCCCCCCTCTACCTCTACTCACCCCGCTAGCCTACTTTGTTAATTCGAACAGGCGTCGACAATCAGCGCCATCAATAAATTGCGCTTACAAATTAAATTGTCAACTTTTTGCTTGTCGTCGCTCTCGAAAATGCTCGTTGTTTGCTCTTTGCGTTTTTGGCCACTAATGGATTTTGAATGTGAACTGAACCAACAACCAACCCCCTGTGGAGAATCCAAGGCACAGATTTGTTACTGATTTGCCTAATGTGAGTTTCGGTCACGGGTCTCTCTGTTCTGTTCCGTTTTCGAGGGTTGTAAGCACCGCCTGGGGTAGGCTTTGTTACCCAGAAAGAGTCCTCGGAGATAGCTACAGCTACAGCTACAGCCAGTTGTGTTTACATTGGCAATGATACGGCCATAACCTCAAACTTGTGGCCCATTACTCAAATTAAGTGAATCATGGCATTGTTTTGCTGTCGACAGCCAGGACGAAAGGACGAGAGCGATGAGAGGGGGTAAGTAAGAAGGGAAGCCTCTCAAATGCTAAACGCTGACAACTAAATAAACAGCGAGAAGTTCTCAGAGCGAGAGAGACACAGCCCACAGATTGCTATACAAATGGAAGGCTGCTTGTTGGCTGAGGGTGGTGGGTGATAGAGGGGCGTGGCGGGGGCAGCAGCACTCAATTGGTTTCGCGTCGAGCATTAAAATGAGCGTGAAATTAGCGACTCAATGCTGGGAAAACTGGGGAAAATGTTTTAAAAGTTTGATCGGATTCGCGCTGAAACTTTGTTTGTAATTTAATTGAAATACTTTTCATTTACTGCCCACTGATCGTTGGTCGGCTTACGGCTCTTCGCAAGTCAAGTGGAAAACTGGAATTCTTAAAATCAGCAAGTCTTTTCAACAATAACTTTTACTTGACTGATATACTTTAATTTGACAAAGTTTTAACACCGATTAAATTTTTGTTTTTTAAGATTATTTTTCTGCATTTATAGATTTGAACTCAAATCGTTTTTATAATTATCAAGATTGTCGCAATTGACTTTGATTTCCCTTCTTATCGTATTAATAAAATAATCTTATCAAATCTGTTGCCAAATCTGTTAAAACTGGAATTCTTAAAGTTTTCCACTGATTTGAACTATTAAATTCGCATAATCGCTTTGATCTTTTCCTAAGTGTTTGAAAGACTTTTAAGAACACTATTTAAAATTTCTCCGTGATTCCCTTTCTTGAATTCAGTTTACAGAATTGAAAAATTGTAAGTGAAAACTTACCTCGACACGCTCCTCCTTGAGATCGACTTTGAGAGCGAGCTGTTCGCGCAGCACCACATCGGGATAGTGGGTCTTATCGAAGGTGGCCTCCAGTTGTTCCAGCTGCTCCTCGGTGAAGATGGTGCGATGGCGACGCTTGCGTTTCGGCGGCGGACCATGCCCCAAATGCCCCAGACCCAAATGATGCTGGGCATGGTGCGACAAATGCGGATGCGTATGCGAGTGCGGATGATGCGGATGATGGCCATGTCCACTCAAACCGGCGGCAGCTGCACCATGTCCACTTACATGCGCCTGCATCTGGGCAGCGGCAACGTGGGCAACGGCAGCTGCATGCATATAATTCGGATAAAAGTTGGGATACGCCACTAACAAGAAGAAGATGAACAAGTAGAAAGGTAACAAAATGATTAAATTCATACTGGGCAACAGCAACCAAAAACAAAAAAGAAAATAAACAAAAAACAATTCACGAGGCGCAAGAAAATCCTTAAAAATGCGCATAACCAAAAACGGTCGGCAATTGCAGTAAAGCCCCCAAAAACCGAAATATGAAAATGAAATCCTTGATGTTTTAATATTCATGCCAAGAAATGAATTTGAATGCGGCGAATATGTGAAAATCTGTGAATCGGGGAATCGGGGCAGTTGTTGCCTGCACCCACAAAAGTTTGCATAAAAATTGCGGCGAGAAAACGGCACGCTCGAATCAACATAAGACCTTCAGCCGGAAGGAATGACGGAAGGAAGGAAGGAATACTCCCCATTCCGTCAACGGACAGCAGAAGGACTTACAATGCAAATCCTCTCACCGCATACAGAATATGGAACGGAATGTGGAAATCATCTTTAACGGTTGAATGACTAATTATGAATAATGCCATTCAGGCGTTAGGCCTGATGGTTCAATGCTCGTTGCTCGTTGCTCGTTGCTCCTTGCTCGAATCCGAATCAAAGGATCCATCCAATATAACCTTAAGGTGTTTTACAGCTCAGGCCAAAGACGCTTCACTGGAACAGCAGCATCGGATGAGGGGGGTGGCAGAGTGCTTGTGTTGCTCGACTTATCCCTAAAGCTAAAATGCAACCACATCCATTTTTTTATCTTTTATACATTTGCGTGGCAATATATTTTTAAGCTTATAAATAAAAAACGTTGCAAAAACTCGTTGAATAAAAATGTTGTAATAAGCAAGAATCTTAAGCTTGATTAGAGATTGAACCTTGAAGAAGACTAAGGATTATAGGGTTTAATTGGAGGAGAAGGCGGAACCCAAAACTTGCAATTTGAATGGTTTTCGAAATTTTATTGAATACTATTTTTCAAATTAAAATTAATTCTAATTTCTGTGTAATTTATATATTTGAAAGATCTCATTAAAATAAAGTTGGGGATCTTATGATGATGTCGTTTAAACTTACTGAAAATTAAAAGTTCTATAAACTAAATGATAAATATTTTACGATTCTGATTCTGATTCTCAATTTCCACTCACCTAAAAAATCCGATGGGGATGCCGCAAAGCCGCTTGCTGCCGCCGCCGCCAGATGGCTCAGATGCAAGCCGGGATGCTGCAGCATGGCAGGAACACGTTGCGGGCGTATCGGGCTGGCGGCGGCGCTGGAACTGGAGTTGGAGTTCGGGGAGGCAGGTGACTCTGTGCTGCGCTTGACCAGACCCCCCAAGGCGAGGCTGCCATTAAGGTTGATGCTGTTATTGTTATTATGGTTGCTGTTGTTGTTGTTGTTATTATTATTGCTATTGTTGTTGTGGTTGCTGTTGCTGTTGTGATTGTTGCTGGCGGCTGCTGCAACCGCTGCCGCATTGCGTGAGCCCAGAATGCTGTCGATGGTAAAGAGGGAGGCAGCTGCAGCAGATGCTGCAGTTGCTCCACTCACACGCGGTCGCTCCTCATCTAAAATGGTGGCGCCCGACTGGGAGCCATCATCCGAGGAGGGCGTCTGCGATTGCGGCTGTTGTTGTTGTTGGTGTTGCTGCTGCTGCTGCTGCTGTTGTTGCTGCTGTTGTTGCTGCTGTTGTTGGAGAACTGATTGGAGACGTTGGCCAAGATAACCACATTGTTGGGAATTGAGCAGCATGGCGGTGGTTAAATGATAGGCGGCGGCATTGTTGCCCGGCGAACGGGAACGTTGAATCTGTCGCGTAGGCTGTTGCTGCTGTTGTTGCTGTTGCTGCTGCTGCTGCTGCTGTTCGCTGAGATCGGTGGCGCCGCAACGCTTGAGAATGTAGCCAGCCGGCGGTGAATTTGTCTCGACCATGTTGTGATTGATGACGCTCGGTGGCGGTGTCGGTGGTGGGGAGCCCGGTGAGGGACTCGGTGTGCTCACAACGGTGATCTTGAACTTGGCCTTGGCAGCGGCGGCGGCGGCGCTGCTGTTGCTGCTGCTATCGCCGTTCGCTAGCTGCGACGGCGTGCTCCACAATGAGGACAGAATTTTGGCGAATTTTTACAAAAGCGGCAACCCCAAGAAAAATGCGGCAGCAAAATAATTGCGCGCTAAATTCGTAATTTGTAATTTGCAATTTGTTATTTGTAATTTGTAATTGTAATTCACACACCAACAACACTCATTAAACGAGACGACACCAGACGAGACACACGCGACGAAATTGTTGTGCTTTTGCGAAGCGTGCAACTAACTGTAAATTCTGTGTGTGTTGAACCCTTCTTGTTCGCTCGAGCTGCGAAACTGTTTTGAATGCGGACGTTGGCAGCAGCGACGTTCACGACGACTTCGATGGTGCGCACGACAAGTTGCTGAACGCACACACACAGGCATAAAAGCAAACTCTCTCTCTTAAATACACACGCACACTCGCCTGGCAGACATTTTCGAGCGCTGACCAATCAGCGTGCAGCTTGACTTGTTTCAGTCCACGCCTTTGCATAGCCAGCACACACACATACAGAGAGCGAGCGCGAGAGAGAGTGAGAGAGCAGCTGTGTGTGCTCTCTTTGTAATGCTTATGTTGTCGTTGTTGCTTTTGCTGTGTCTCGTTGTTAGTTCCGTTAAATAGCGGTGGTGGCTGGCTGCCATGGTGGACGCCCTTTGGCTGCCTAGCTGCTGCTGCTGCTGCTGCTGTGACATCTACACTTACCGTTACCCGTTAGCTGGCCAAGGCAAAAGATGGCGCACTGTTAAAGATAATGGTGCTCAGTTTTGTGTCTCCTCTCTGCTGCTGTTGCTGCGACATGGGCGTGCTACTCTCTCTCTCTCTCTCTCTCTCTTTCTGCTGCTGCGTGGTTTTTTTTTTTTTTTTTGCCTGCTGACAGTTATTTATACAGATAAAGTCATCACTGACAGCCCCCGCGGCTCGCGTCAGCATGGAGTGTGAAGAGATGCGCCATACAAAGGCTGGCCAGCTTGCACTTGTGCATTTAAATGGAAGCGATGGGAGAATGTGAAGAGAGAGAATGCGAAATGTTACCGTAATGTGTAAAGTGATGTGCTGAAGTTCGCGCTGCTGAGATAGGAAAGTTGGCAGCGCGGTCGCTGTTCTGCTCCGCCGTATCTTAAGAAGATAATGACTAAATTAATGCTTTTATGTTTTTGGCAACACATAAACATCATTATGCGCTCAATCCTCGGGCTCGCTTCTTCAGCAGTTTCTCTCCCAGTTAGATGGGTGGTTGGGTCCATTGGCTGGCAACTCCTTATATACAGGCTAGCTAAATGCACCGTTAGATTATATATATGTACACTGTCTTCTGAAAACTGTCGGAAAAAAAGTTCCATACAATTTTCTGTGGCATAACCCGAACTTCTCATAACCACATATATATCTCAAATTGCTCCATAATTGGAGCATCAATTCGAGTTACTTTTTAACTAAAAATCACAAAAATGTGTTTTAACATCTCAACGAGTTTATAAGTCGATTTGGTTAACTGAAGTTTTTTTTTTTTTTTTTAGAAGAATAGTTGAACTTGTGTAGAATGTGTAAAGTCTCTCGAGAGTTTAATTGAGAAATTCTAAGCCAAAGATCGCACAATGTGCCCAAGTTTATTTATGCACATTTCTTACTTGTTTTGTTAGTGTGTGTTTGCATAGGAAAATATTTTAATCTAAAGTTTCCACATCAAACATGCTCTCAAAGTGCAAAATCCCAGATTTTGCTTCGAGCACAAAACAATGCTAAGGACTAATGATAAATGCAATGGCAGCCAACGGTCGGTCTCCTCGTGTGTTCTCCTCTGTCCCGTTGTCCTTTCGTCCTCTCGTCCTATTGTGGTCATATGTCAACCACATACATAGAGGAGCTTATGTGCTGTTTGCTGCCTGCCCGTTCTCTGTTCGTTATGTATCCAACTGATTATGATGGGTGAAGCAATGCTCCGCTCCTGCCTCTCTTGTAAAAGGATGAAAGGATCTGGGCGACTCTGTGCGACATGTGCTGCTGCTGCTGCTGTCGAATGTTGCCAATGCTTTTAGAAATTATTGAATAATTAAGCAAGCCAGCCAGCAGCAGTGTAGCAACACAGGTTCGAGCTGCTGCAGCTCCACTGGAGCGTTAATAGTCAGCATCATCAGGGAAGTGAACTTCTCCACTGCTTGCTGCTCTCTCTCTTCCTCTGCTACTATTATTTGTTTTTGCTCTGAACTTCTTACATGTGCACCAAAAACCAGCAACTCCCGACGGGAATATGTCAACACACACACATATTGCTTCCCTTTGCTGGTCAACATTGGGAGTGCGCCTCGATAAGCTCAAAAGTTGTAATTTGCCAGAGAAGCAACCAATTCTACAACTTTACTACACACATTTTTTAATATTCTCTAGTGTAGAGTCTTTGAATTTTTTCACAAAATGTGTAACGCCTTGAAGTAGAGACGATTTTTTGATGAGGACAAAGAATTTTTGTCTGTGTAGCTATTTTCGGCTGCCATAAACTATTTGAACTATGTTCTCAGTTAAGTTATATTGCTTAAACTTATTGCTGCTTAAATTAGATACATTTCCTGGCTAGCATTGAAAAATTGTACCAAAAAGGTATTATATAAATTGTTCTGGGTTTTGAAATATCTTCTTCAAACTCGTTGAGAGAGTTGCGAGTTTTACTCTATTTTCATATCGTGGCACAGTTTCTTTTATCAACTTTATATTTTTTGTTTTTTGTCAGCTCATAAAATTGGTGTTGTTTTCCTTATTTTCTTGCTTTTATTTATTTTGATTGATTGGGTAATATTTTATTTTCGATAGAAATATTCATGTAAGAATAGACTTGTCTTATTTTGAATCATTGGCTAACATTTTATTTCGATTTCCTCACTTAAAGATTGACTTGTCTTGTGGAACATTATTTCGAGCATCAGCAAGGGTATTTGAACTTCGGCATCTCAGCGAGAAATCTTCCATTTTTTTCCGGTTGCGCTACTCATGAGTTTTTTTTCCGCATTTTTCGACTCGCTTTTTTTTTATCAAATTGAAAGTTTGGTTTCTCGTTGTGGCACTTTTTGTTTTAGTTCGTAGATTGAATTTTAAATAACAAATTATATTAACTCGTCTAAGTATTGTTGTGAGTCTTTTGGCAACATTTCCGTCCGACTGTTGAATACCTCCTCCCCCTCCTACTGCTGCCCACTAACCTCCCCTCACCAGTCCTGCTGCCGCGACCACTTCTCGACTAGCGGGGAAAAAGTTCAATTGGCAAAGGACTGTGTAAACACTGTGGAATAAAAGGTTTTTCTACTTTTCCAACTGCACATTCCTTGCTGCTCCTCCTCCCTCCGCCCACTTTTTCTGCTTCTTCTTGGCTCATGATGGATTTTTATTTCGATTTTCATTCGATTCTGATTTCGTTTTCGCAAAAATGGCGCCGCCGGCAATTTTTTTTGTTTTTTTTGTTGCCATTTCGCTTCTTTTTCTGCTTCTCAGTTTGTGAAATTAGAAAAGTTTTCGCTTCTTTTCCGCACCTCTCTCTCTCTTTCTCTTTCTCTCTCTCTTGCTCTGCTGATTGCTTTGCTAGATGAGGCAGTCTGGTGAGGGGATGGAGGAGGGAGGAGGGTGTGCGGCATGCTGTATGAGCTTTGGGTATTTGTCTTGTTAAAAATTTAAGCGAATTTCGAGTGGAAGCCAAAAGCGCTCAAATCAAAATCAGCAGCCGAAGTAGCTTCAACAGCAGAATCATTTTGCCTCACGCCTGATGCTGACATTGATATGTTAATGAAATCGTCACCATTTATAATCCTCAGCAGCAGCAACCCCGACCGATGCGATCCAATGCTTAATGGCCGATCCGTAAGTTGCATACACTCGAAGAAATAGATGAATGTCCTTCAGTTTTAGACACTTCTGAATTTCGTATCAAAAGGAAATGGCATCAAATATTTCGAAACTATTAAAACTAATACGATTTTTAATATATTCTATATTTAATATAGTTTTATGGCTCTCGTTTTTTTTTTAAGTGTAATCACACCGGTTTTTATTTTCCGGCAATTTTGATTGTTGTTGCTGTGTATAGTCAATTAAATGTTTAATCCAAATATCGTTTTATGCGTCGCAGTTTGTTGCTGCTGACATGGATGGCATCAAGGGATCAGGCCAGGGACTGAGGGATCAGTATCCGGATCAGTTTAATCTTGCGATATGCGTAAGCGTGCAAATTGCTATGATTACGCATGCGCTGCTGCTCCTTCCAATCCCAATCCCAATTCCCAATCCCGATCCTGATGATGATGATGATATCATGGTAGCGAAAAAGAGACAACAATAGCTACGGGTGAAAGAGAGCGAAACAACAACAAAAGGTGCAATAAAACCGAGCGTGTGCGGGCAACATAAAATGGAAACTGGAAACTGGAATTGCACAGAGAATGATTTCAGCTGAGAGTTGAGAGCTGAGAGCAGAGAGCAGAAATGAGCTGCTGGATGAATGAAGGATGAATGAAGCGGGGCGTGAGGCAAAAACAAAATGGTTGCTCGCATTGCAGGAATTTAGTTTGTCAGCCTGTCCGTCTGTCAGTCAGATCAGATCAGGGCAGCTGCTTCTCTTCTCAAACACACTCGCACACACTCACACACACTCGCACACACACAATTCAGAGCAAACAGCAGGGACCACACTTTGTTAGCCGCCAAAACCTTTGTGTCTGCGTGTTTTCGGTTTAGTTTCGTTTAAGCAAATAAATAAAATAATAAAATAGGCAGATGGAATTAGTATATATCAAAGATTATAATATTTGAAATCAACATTTGAAAAGGATCATTTATGCAGAGCTTATAGAAGACACCGGATGACAACCCGGAACCGAAACAAAAACTGCAACTGGACTGGTTAAAATTCAGAAATGGAAACAAAAATCTAAAATTTATTGAAGAAACAGTTGAATGATGGAAAATAAAT